CATTTTTTCCACGGAGATCAACGTGCGAATAATGGAATTGAGCGTTATCAATGCCAATCAAAAGAGGGACAAGCCCATCATTTGCCGGCTTGGGAAAATTGCACTGGGTCAGATGCCGCCATTTATTCTGATGGTCCTTCCAGTTCACTCTGTAATTGCCAGTGACTTTCTGCGGACACGTTTTTGGGCTTATTTCCTTTGAAAACCTGCCATCTACACTTTCGATTTTGATTGGAATGGACTGAAATGTTTCGACGGTGTCATTGAGCGCATAAACTTGAACTTTTTCGAATAGCTCTTGCAGTCCCAGTATCCCAGCAACCGCTTCGTTTAGGAAAGTTTCGTTCGATGCATCGTCTAGGATGGCGTTTATTTTTACTTTTCTTCCATTAGCCTTCATCCACACAGGGACAGTTCGAAACGAATAAGACTCAGTCGGCGTTTCTGTACTACAGCTGGTCAGGGTCACAGCGGGCGCCCCCTCCCGCGGAACATCTGGGTGTCTCCCATCGTCAGCATGAGGCAACGTTGTCATCGGTCCGGTTTCTGACAAATCTTCACTTCCATCAAGAAGACAGTGGTGACTTCGAGAACAAACATCTATTCCACATGTGCGGGACCTTAGGAAATCTTTCCCCCTAGAGGCTAGGCAACGAAAACACAACTTTTTTTCTTTAGCGATCTTCCAGCAGTCATCCACTCCTCTGTCATAAAACTCCTTAAAAAATCACACCCCGTGATCGAAACTCTGGCAGAGAGAACACGGAGGCTTCGCACTCTTTGGCTCTTTCCCTATTGCATCAGTATGAAAATTTCGCATCCTGCTCTGTTCCTAGTAACTCGATACTCTCGGCACTCTCGGTGGTCTAACGTGGTCGACGGATTTCGGCTCAATTCCATTCGCCATTTCCGCTGCTTCTATTTGGAATCTGACTTAGTCTTTCGACCAGTCTCTGAAAGCTATGACTGATTTTTTTGTCTGGCGCGTTCGTTCAACCAGCGACTGTAATTTTCTAGCTGGCATCAGGCAACTTTTTCATCAGCAAGCTGTGAAGAGTTCCATCTTCTAACTCTCCGTCTCTTCTTTCGGCCTGTAACTTTACCACTGTAATTCTAACAAGGTCAACAAACTTCTCCACTGCGTGGACGTCGTTACTTCGTATTAACGGCGCCTGTTCTAGTTTATCCAAGTAGGCTCGCAGAAGCCGACGCGTACCTCCATAGTGCGTTTTTAATATCTCTTTGGCCTCCTCGTATTCGTGGACGGTAACTCCGAGACCACGGATGCCTTCCAAGGCGTTCCCAGTGAGGCAATGTCGCAGCCTTGCCATCTTCAAATTTACTGGCTCCGTTGACTCGTCTACTAGACTTGTAAAGAGGGCCCAAAAACCTTCAAACTTTCTTTTGTCACCATTAAATGTTGGAACTTTTAAAGGCTTCGAATATCGGTTTCGGTCCTTGTGGCTGTGGTGACTCTCGTTTAGCTGATCTTCTCGGGCCGATTGCTCGTAGCGATCCGTCGTGTTCTCGATTAATGGCGTGTTCATATTCATGACTTTGCATGCGCGGAATTCGATCGCATTTTGCCCCGCTTCGATCGCTCTTTGTACGTCTTTTTCGATGGTTTCTGACTCTTAAAAGCTTCATTTCCCCATTGTCTTCTACTTCGATATAGAAGGCGAATAATTCCTCTAAAACTTCTTGTGCGTGTTCAAGAGCTGCCCAAAACTGCTCAATCATACTTTCTATGTCCGTTACCTCGGAATCCTTCACGCATAGTCTTTCTAACTCATGTCTGAGCTTTGTCACTTTTGTCTTTGCGGAGCGTTTTCTTCTTTTAATCTGAATTAACAGAACGTCTTTGTGCTTCTGTTTGTCGACTCCATTCACAATTTCGTCATTTTACTAAGTAAATTCGGTATCATCGCTGTCCTCAGATTCGGGAGCCATAGTGCACAACTCAAAACTCAAAAACTCAAATCGCAAACGAAACCTCAAACAAACACCAGTTCATACCTTGCTCCCATCGTGGTCGCAAGAAATGTTCGGAAGCAGTAACGAAAATCTCCTTTAAAAGCACGCAGCGTTTAATAGGTAAAAAGAGAGTAAAACGGTAACGGCTTAAAATACAAACTTAATAACAAAAACCTCCGGAAAACTGAAAAAAAAAAAAAAAAAAAAGACACGCGAGAAATCGTACGTGTAACTTCTACGAACTGATTACATTTCAGAGAGGATGTCAGTTTTCAATGACCAATATGATAGAATCTACTGAGCTTCTAGCTTTTAAAAGACAAAAGGATGGTTATAAAGTTACTGTAAAAAGTTCTTTGTGTATTTCTGTTGTTCTATCGTGATACCAACACAAATGAATATTTACCATGTATGAAGATTTTTGTTTAATTGAATCGAAAATATTACAAAATGTTACTTTTGTGGTCATTAATCGTTGTTTTAATAGCAGCGTAGCAGTTCAAAGCGGGTTGTTGCTTCAACGTTATTGAAATTTATAGTGTTCTGGCAGGAGAGCAGAACGTGATGCTCTGGGAATAAAAACTCTTAGGGGCCTTTTACATGATATCGGAATGAGTTTTGTTCAAGAACGAGTTCATCCCGGTTGCCACATGATACCAGAGTAAAATAATTCGAAACGAGTCATTTCTGAATGAGTTTATTGAGGTTTTCATTCCAGAACGAAACACTGATTCTGGACGACCTTTTGTACCTGTATAAAGTAAACGAGGTACGACACTCATCTCTGTATAAATCCTCTTAGCGAGGGAAGCATAGAAAAAGGACGTAAATACTTGTCTTTACAAGCTAAATTATCTTGCATGTAAACGCGGTATGAAATTCATTTCGTTCCGAAACGAAACCCATTTTGGAATAATGTAAAAGGTACCTTTTGAACGGACTATCAGATTTTTGATGCGGGGAGTGGGGGAGAAGTCTTTTGCCAAGTGCACTATGTGTTTTCTTCCATTAAGCCTGTGCTCGATTTTTTCGGGGCTTATTGCCCAACACCCGCCCCCCCCACCCCTGCATCAAAAGTCTAATGGTCCGTCCCTAATATGCTATCAGGTCGGACACCTTGAAAACAAAGGATGACACGCAATCAGTTTACGGCAAATTTGACATGAAAATAATTCTGATGCCTTTTGAAAATAAAAAAAAGGCTTGAACAGTAAACAGGAGGCGATCGGAAATGGGTGAGGATGCTTGTCGTACCTTTTACGGTGTCTCAAACTTTTCGTGTACTACCAGAGACCCAGCTAGTACCTTTTAGGGCGTTTTTCGCTCAATGAAATACCTGAAGTAAGCATTACTAGGACGATTTCAATGACCTGACTTGAGCTTCTGGAGCACATCGATAAAGGAGTTCATTTTTTTGGGATTTTTCAATTTTTTTGTGTTTAAATTGGTACTTTTTAAGGGTAGATATCAGTTGTTGCCACTCCCACACGGATAAGACTCAGGTACCTTTTATAAATTTATAGGGGTCATTTACAAAATTCCCGGCGCGCATCCTCGCCCTCTTATGTATAGGGGTTCCCCGGGGGGTGCTGATACGTTCAGCACACTTGAAATTTAGCAAGGACAAATTTTGATGTGATTTTCGGTGAAGAGAAAAAAGTTTTGTCAGCGTCTTGTAGCTACTGCGGAAGGGCCCTTTACCACTGCGTGCTTAATTACGCGTCCCGCCAGACAGCGGGAAGCTTACAAGGTGCTCAGACATTGGTATAGAAAATTCCGCCTCTGTCTGGATTTTGGTAGCCTATTGACCAATTCCCAATCGAAGCCTAAGTCTGACGGGACGTGTAATTTTGCACAAGGTGGTAAGTAGCCGGGTTATATGAATTTTCCAGATGTCTTGCTTGCTATCTGTGGTACACGCTTGCCAGTTCCCCAATAGGCATTTGGAATCGACTTAACCCTACCTTTACTATGGCCACACACTTCTTTATGCACTCTACATCTACTAATGGAACCACGAATCCACCCAACACCGGTACCTAGATTTGATCTATGAATGGGGCAAATTGTAAAATCATCGATATCTTTTGGCGTCTCTAAGATGCCGGCTCGCGACAAAATAAGATCAGCTTCAGTTTCTGGATCTCCGCAAGTAACTTGAAATGTCTTTTTTATAATTACGCAAGGGAACGACCTGAGATATGCAACGTCGGTCTTTTGATAACTATACCCAAAAGACCCACCAGCGAACGATTTAAATGAACAGCAAATCTCCTTGTTAGCATGTAAGATGAGACGCTCATACAAAAGATCAATTAGCTAAATCAGTATGTGCCTTGTCAATCGAAATGACTTTTGTAAACATTCTTTGACTTTTGCCGGCAAAGGAATCATTTATGGATCTGAACGTTTTACTTTTCTGAATACAGTAGTTCTTGGAAGGTTTTTACAGATATGAAAAGAGGGAAAAAAACCCATCTCTTGGTAATTCGGAGGTTGATTCGTCTTTGAATTTATATGTCACGCTTGTCATGCGACTAATATAATAATGTGGGCAAGATTTACAAACTGCAAATTAAATCTGGCTAAAATGTGGTAGAGCATAACTTGATCATCGAAACAGCTAATAATGTGATAAATAAACAAGGTAAGAGTGTCATGTTAGATTTCTTTACAAAATATCGTGATTTATGCCAGTAAACGGTACTGCTGACGGATTATTTAATTCTGCTGACGGATTATTTTATTTTTTATTCTGTGCATCTCATTTAAGCTGAGATGCTAGTAGACACCCAAGGTAAAGTTTCCATTCAAATTTGTTAAAAATATATTTAAGGACATTCGCAATGATTGAACTCTAAGAAAAAGCTGATTTGATTGTACTGTCACACTTGAAATCATTTATATATGTAACAGAGCATCCTTTCCCACTCCCAAGGAGAGAGAACCATTTGACATGTAACAAAAGGGAACTCTAACAATTTAAAATCAAAGTTCCTTCAAGGACAGACGTCAGTAAATGCAACCTATCCCAAATTATAATACTCCAGCAACATCTGAAGCACAGGAACCAATACGCTGGTAAATATTGCATATTGATGTTGATATGATTGTGAACGATATGATGTAGTTGTACATGGGAGACGTGTCGGCTTAGCTCTGTACCTACATAAAAGATTCGGAACCATGGCTTTTTGGCCAAACTGATCCAATCGGTAACAAGAGAGCGTCGCTGGATCAATTGGCTCCCCGCATTTGTCTCTCTGTAAAGGAAGAGGAAAGATACAGGCCTTCTGGTAAGAATGAGTGTTGTAGCGAGGGGAGAAACCATTCGGCTAAAGTGGAAAATGGAAACTTAACGAAAATTTAACCAAAGCGAAGAACAAAACAACTGGTTTAGCCGGCTGGCTGAGGCTGGAGCAAGTGATTCTGGGATTGCCTTCACCCTACACTGAGGGCACAAGGCAGACCAACAGAGAAAAATATAAGAATAACTTTGAATCGATGAAAGTGGAAGAAAGAAGACAGGCAAACTCAACCCCGGCCCGGCGGACACTGAGACCTCAAACTAACACCTACCAAAGACATCTGGCTATTACGAAAAGCCCCCTCTGTTGTACGCTAAAGTCATATGCGATCAGTCTGGATTGACTAGAATCGTTGTCAGGTAATAAACTTCCCACAAAATGTATGAACGAGTGTTAAAAACTGCTCCTCATTCACAATTTTGCAGCAACTGCCTGCTAGCTGACAATACCGAAGCAAGAACGTAATGAGTCTTTACAAGACTTTCAGAAAACCCTAACAGTGAAACGAGAACGCAGCGGAATACAAATATCTAAAAAGCAATACCTCTGCACGTCCTTGCATTAAAACTTTGTACATTTTTCAAACAATTTAAGCAAAATAAGAAGAGAAAATAAAACATTTTTCCGAGTCTGAGGTTGGGAACCCCATAGAAAATCGTTCACGTTTCTACTTAACGCTCCATTGACATATCATGCTGAAAGGGAGTTCTGGCGACGTTAGAAGAAGTTCAACACATAGAGCTACTCTCGTGATTCTTAAGAGAAATAAACGTTCATTTTCAGGATGACTTTTAACTTGACGTCATAATATCTCATACTTCCTGATACATAAATTGAAAATGATCGATTGAAAGATCCTCTAAAAATTGGAGGCACTTACCAGTAGCCCCTCTTGAGTGTCCCAATCAGCCAAGCAATCGATGCTGTTACAATATCGAACATTCTCAGAAATGCTGGGTTTTTGATCAGCAGGACAGTTTGTGCTTGGTCCATACTCTGTAGGGTTGATCTTCTTACGGCAGATGACATCGCGTGTCTGCAACCCATTGCCACATGATCTGGAGCATGTTGACCAATCAGTGGTGTGCCATCTGAAAGCAAAAATTCTTGAGTTACTTATATAGTTAATATAGACACAAGACCGTGGCGCTCAGGCTTCTCTTTCTACGTCAAAAGTCGAACGACTGCAGGTTAATCTATCGCAATGGACTATTCACAGCAACGGTAAGATCTACGTACTAAAAATTTCTATATCTAATCGATTCTGTTCAATTTCATACCGAGAAGACTCCCAAAATACCTTCTACGTACTCAAAATTTCTATCTCTGATCGATTCTGATCGATTTAACACTGAGCAGACTCAGTGCAGTAGCACCCTCTCTAATCCATTGAAGAACGCTTCTGAAGGCGTTAGCCAAAATGACTCAACCCAAACTCACGTTAGTGAGAAGTAAACCATTAGCTCTGTATTTAACACAGTAGTCTATTGTCAAAGAAATGCATTGCTCTTACTCCGAGGGACAGTCCTTGACCTGGCATGATTCACTTGTAATTTTCTCTCCACAAGCTTCATCGCTGGCGGGTGTTTTGTCATCTGACCGAATACATCTCGCTGAGCGTGTACGAACACCTGCAAGCGAAAACGCAAACCAGTACCGTCAAGTTACTCCACCAGCAAGGGTGGGATATGAGAGGGTAGATGATCGAAAAGGCAAGTATCTGCTTGGAGAGGGTAAAGTATCTTGACCCTCTCCAACATGTTGATAGTTCCTGTTCAATTCACTTCGTAGAACACATCAGCCCTATGTTAAAAAAAAAAGAAAATTTAAACTTAACTCGAATTTCACCTGTGATGGGAGGTGACCAGATTCTCTGGCACTTCCTGAATTTAGAAAAAAGGTTCTTCCAAATGTATGTCGTAAGATTTTCTGGATTCACGGTGACACCTTCTATGTTGAGGGTATCGCCATCATCGCTATGTTGCCGAGCTCAAGTAAGCACACTTAAATTCACAGCTTAAAAAAATTACAGCTAAACGTTCAGATTCTCGTAAAAGCAGTGAGCACTATCAGCTATTTCAATGTATATCTTGATTATGAAAAGTCAAACAGTTAGTTTGCCTGGACTTCGTAAGAACAACAGAAACACGTGCGCAAGAGAGCAGAAACGCACATGCGTGCAGTTCTTAAACTCTCGCGTCTAGTTCAAGAGTTTGTACCTTGGCCACACGTTGTGGAACAGGCGGACCACGTGTATGTCACCCATTCAAATTTATTCTCAGGCGGTGTGTCGGAAGGTTGCACGACCCTTTTAAAGTCAAAGTCTATTCCTGGATTTCCACCTTGGACATAAACATACTGAAAATAAAGGAACGAAGGACAGTTTGAAATCATAAGGTAACAAAGTAACCTGCCGGAATGCCCCACAAATAACCTCTGCCCCCCCCTCAATACTATCAGTTCCAAGTATTAAAAAATGCACAGCTATTTTGATTTACCCAAGACAAATATAATATTGAAGAGGCATGGGCCCGCTTTAATCAATTACATTTACTCAGTATTCAACTTAACTTATCTTTAATACGCACGTGAAGAAGAAGGAAATTCGTAAGGAACGGAAAAACGAATTTTATAAAAAAATACCAACAAATTATTAGGCAAAAATAAAACGTGATGATACCACGAGGCAAAAAAGTTACCGAATAGTGAGGGAATATACGAGAAACGAAACTCTCGTAGGAAAAGGGTGCACATCCACGCAAATATAAAACACATTGTTTTGAGGGACGTAAAACATAATTTATAAAAGGCGGCGTAATTTACATAAAGTGCCAAAAGATGGTGTAGAAATGATATGTGTAAAAACAAGCGTATTTGCCACAAGCCGATTTTGGCTGCGCTTACTCGTGAGCTACCGAGTTGAACACTCGAAGAGAAATTCCATATCTACGCGTGTCATTTATTATTCTCGATTTATCATATAAACTGCGGTGTTATACAAGGATTTCCAGCCTTGAGAAAAGCCGTAACAGCACATGTGAAAAATATCGTAATTTTTCACGTGTGTTTGAAATTGCTAGCCACTTTAAAGGTTGATAAATGGACGGCAAAGCCTTCACCATTTACAATCCAAGGTCTTTTGTGGGAATTTTTTCGGATTATGGCTCCTAAAACACTTAAATGTCCGTATCGTTTACTGACAATGACGTTCAATCGTTCCTAGAGGGGGAAGAAAACTGAAAGTTACGTATTCAGTGGTTTCTCGCAGCTGAGAACGAAAATCAAGAACTGGAAGATTTGCCACAGGCCGATTTTGGCCGTTTACCTGAAAGACTTCTTCTACCTGTAAGGACCGAGTCAATAGCCGAGATGTTTTGTGTACTGAAAATTACGGCCATTGTTTGTTTTTGTGGTGTTTCGACGCAGTTTTTCTTTCTGAGCATTAGCGCCGACGGACTTTACGATTTTTATTCGGTGATTGTCGATCCTTTATATTTTCATTCACTAATGAAGTTGACTTTTCTTGCGTCAAAGGACTTTTGTGTTTATATGATAAAAAAAATAATACATGGGCGCGCGTGGATATGAAATTTCTCTTCTTGTGTTCAACTCGACATCTCACTCGCTCGCAGCGCTTACTCGTGAAGCTTTTGAGGTAAACACTCGAAGAGAATTTCTATATCCACACGTGCCCATGTATTATTCTCTATTTAATAAACTTTTAAGGGAAACGCATAAATAAAGTCACATATAAGTTTACTTTGAACAATACTTAATAGAAAAATTCCTTACCACTACTTTAAGAATCTGATCTGTAGGACCTGGAATCGTGAGTATCACTTTGTACTTTGACTTCTTGCGGGTATACTGGATAACTGTGTTAGCAACAGAAACTTCCTGCACGTTTTTTACTTACGTTGCCAACTAAATATGTTCCATTGTCTGCTTGAACCCCTGAAATGTAATCAAGCGCTTTCACCATCAATATTCACAGTCTGATGATTAGTTACAAATTGTTACTTCGCAGCACCTCAGCTGATATGATAAATCGTTAAAATTCAGGGAGAGGGTGTTTTCTTCTGTTTTGCTTGCTCTGCTCTGTGATTGGTCAGAAAACTCGATACTTTATAGTTTAAGTTACTCGTGACTTTCCTACACTGATTTTCTCGTGCTTCAGGCAGTTCGATTGATTTCACCTTTCAATTCCACCGACCCCTGATGATGCCTTCCTTTGTCCTGAGTGGTCGTAATTATTTTAACATCATCCAATTGATATGGGTTCTAACGCGCAGCACACATCAGGTCAAATTTAGAGGATAAGTAGGCTCCATCGGCCATTACAAAGTATACAGGCATGAATTTCTCACACTGACTGCGTAATTTCAAGTACATTTTTTTTGTTAATGACAGCAACAACCGATATGGTTCCTGAAGCGTACTTCCTCTTTAAGTTATACCGTTGGTTTCACTTAAAGTCCCTCGATTTCTTACCGAGGTAATTACGTGATGACTGCCTCATTTTGAAAGAAACGTCGTAAGCACCAATGAGAAGTCTTTGAACGACATCTGCATTTTCAAGACCTAGAATTAAAGAAACAAAATGAAAAAAGGTGTTATTCGCTAGTCATTCGTAATTTTACTGAAGTTTCTTATGCACTTTTGTGTACTTTCGGCAAATAGTAAAGAGGCGATAAAAATCTTAACTTTGCCTTCTAAATGTTAAAGCTCTGAGACATAAGAGAATAATAATAAAACAAAGAGCGAGGAAACAGAGAATCAAACGAAATCGAATGAAATCATAGATTACCGAAGTAGACATCTAACACTTATCAAACTAATACAATCAAATAACCGACTTATCGATAATATTTTATCTAAAAAATTGAAAAAAGGCCACCTATAAAACCAGGTAGCCATTCCACCAATAAAACACACCTAAAAATTTTAACAAGATGTTTGCTGCGGAGTCCGTGCAAGTGAATCGGGCGTCAAAGCCACATACCTAATATTAGTTATATCTCTATTTTCACAGAAAAGTAAGGTGCCTAGGTCCTCTTTAGTGTCCCTCTATTTGCATAACTTTGACGTAATCAACAAGAACTCTCCTACTGGGCTATGAACTGTACCTTTTACAGTGTGAGAGGCCGTGTAACTTCCAGAAATAACGAAGCATTGGTCCCCATTGCCGCCACATTTGCCACAGCGATCCACCATTGCGTTGGAGTCCAGAACGTGATCACAACCAACCGGCTATTTATTTAAGTGACATTTCAAAACCAAAATTACCCGACATCCTTAAATGCATTTTCATGACGGAGTGAAAAACATTTCAAATTTTCAACATATCTTAGATTATTCAGTTCCTGGAGTGACTCACAAAGATTTTCTCCTCAAAATGTCAAAAGGTTTTCGATAAAAAAAAAAAAGCGTAACGAGAAGAGAGAAAAACTATCGACTGGGAAATATGGTTTGCTTTGAAAATAATTTATTGGAGCTGAAGTTTGTTTGTTTGTTTGTTTGTTTGTTTGTTAGGTTTTTTTTCAGAACTTTATTCGAAATTCAACTTAATCCTTTAGCTCCCAAGATCTTAATAGTAATTCCCCTTACTGTCTGCCATATGGTTCTTGTGATTTTGGTTTGGAGATTTGGTACTGGATCAACTAATTAGTTAAAATTGTTTTTATTCCCATCACTCGTCTGCTTGATATTGTATTGATATTGTAAAGAGAAATTCTGTCTTGGTCACCCATGGGAGTTAAAAGGCTTTTTAAAATATTCTTCATTCTTAGCAATCCTTTAAGATAAAACAGTTTTGCGGGTTGCAAAATTGTAACATTCTCTGACAATTCTGAAGACGAAGTAAGGTTGGTATCAGAACACTTTTTTTAAAGCCATAGTAGCCACACAAACTATCCATAAATCGCTGAGATAAATTTGTGAACAGATCTCTTCAAACTAGAAGAAATAGATACAGGTAATCTTTTGCAATATAATCTCAAGTCACTTACTCGGCATTTTCCTTGGATACACACATCATAAGTGTTTTTGTCTGCTTTGCAACGCGTTCCGTCTTCTACGGTACCTTTGCCTCTCACAAGGCTTCCGACACGACAATATAATTCACAAAGGGCTGAGAAAATAAATAAGATAAATGAGTTACGAAAATGAAAAATGTAACTTCCCTGAAAACGAAAATAGTGTTGTATCTTAGTTAAATTATCGTATTTAGTTGTCTTACCATTACATTTTGTTTGGTGATTTTTAACTCATTAGGCAAGTTTTTCTTCGAATTAGCAAGGAAAACCTTAAATGCAATAATTGAAAACACGCTGCCAGCTTCCTAATTGTAGTTCTAGGTGAAAATTACAGGTAATTATTTTTGGTCAGCGAACTTTACGTGAAGCTTCGTAAACATATGGCCTTGAATTGCACATAATATATAAATGAAATACAGTCAAAGTCACACACATACAACTTGAACCAAAGTAGGGAACTGAGCCAGATTGCTTTCTTAAACACTGCTCCTCTCTAAACGTTTTTGCTCCTTCTTGACAGGCCTGTAAGAAAAATGATAAAGTGGATCAAATAATGATCCTGTAGTCAATCCCATTAAATTTTTCGAGAACCACCCGATAATCTAAAAGCAAAAGATCCTTTATTATAATTTTCCCTGATCTGGGCATCTCATGCAGCGTCTTTCTATTATCCACTATAAACATTCAAGTCTCGGTTGCCAACCAAAAGCAGTCCATGAAACATTATTCCCGAAAGACCATTATAATAAAGTTCGGATATAACGCGCGCTGTCGTTGGTTGGAAGAGCGTGCTCTCTGAGAGTCTAGGGCATAGAGCTGAGCTGAAGCTGTCACGTCATCTGCCAAATGTCCGACCTTTTCCGGGACTTTTCTATGGCTTTTTTTCGTTAACATAAAGTGAAATTTCCTAACAAGCGAGCCGGCATGTAGCAAAGAACAACCAAACAAAGGTTTATAAACATTCCAGGCGTCGTAATTGACGTTATTACAACGTGAGCAGAGACGAAAATCCTCAAAGAGAAAACGAAATGGACAATCCGAGTTTTGAAAGTTTTCACGCTTAGTTAGATTGCAAGCTTACCAATGGTAATAAAAATCAAACACAGCTAACACTCGGATAGTATATAAAGTTCGAGTTCAAAAACAAAACAGAATAAAACAGGAATGATAAAAAATATAGCAAAAGTAACTGTTATAATTCATACTAATGATGACGGTGTCAGAGCGACTGCGATCATGCTGAGGTCCAACGTGGCTAGCTCGGAGATGACCAGTGAAGCAAGCCTCATGAATTACATCGACCGCATGGCAACTTGAACTATTACAACAACGATTCCGATTGTGCTTTAAGAGAGTATAGAGCATGCTGACGACACTGTTGTTCGCTTTGGATTAAAATTTATTTTGAAAATTGAAAGTAATGCGCGGGGAATTTAATGGATTCTTTATTACAAAACAAATAGAGAAGCCTTGACTGTGCTCTGATCTGTTGTAATGCACTTAGGAAGCGGCTAGAGCACTCAAGTAGTGGGGAAACACTCGCCTACGTCTCGTGTTTCTCCCTACAATTCTTTCGTGCTCTAACCACTTCATCATTAAAACTTTTTTAATTCTTTATTATATAAAACAAATAGATTCCAAGTTGCCGTGTGTCTATTCAGTAATAGATCACAGAGGACGTCAAAATGTGGTAAGAATATCAGTGACAAACTCGGCTGCGCCTCACACATGACCAATGAGCCACTTTTTTGTTCTTACCACATTTTGACGTCATCTGTGATCTATTACTGAACAGACGCATGGCAACTTGGAATCTACTTGTTAAATAGAACATAGGGCAAGAGAACTAAAGCTGTCACGCCATCTGCCAAATTGTACTATGTCTGGCCATTTCTCAGATTTCTCTCTAGGTTTTTTCGTCAATTGAAAGCGTAATTTCAGAACAAGCGAGTCCGCAAATAGCAACAGAAGAACCAAACAAAGGTTTATAAACCTGTCAAGCGCCGTACAGACGTTATTATAACGTTAGCAGAGACGAAAATCCTCAAAGAGAAAAAACGAAATGGACAGTTCGTATGGTAAGAAAAATCAAACACAGCTAACACTCGTTTAGTATATATAGTTTCGTGGTCATAAACAAAACGGACCAAAACAGGAATATTGAAAAGTATAGCCAAACTGGCATAACTGTTAAAATTCATATTAATCTAGCTCATCATCGCAATCTCCGCTCATCGCAGTGAAGCAAGCCTCAGAGTTTACATCGGTTACCCCTAGAGTGAACAAATAGGCGCTTGCTCTGACATCTTTTCCGATGCGTTGAGTGAGAGGGTCACATCAATCACAGCGACCGAGTTTTACGGCGCTGTCATCCCGAGCAGTCTTCATCTTCCTGTCAAATCGGTTGTCGTTTATTCATTAAACATCCGCCTTAAACAGATCTTAGTTTCTGATTGTTATGTTAAAAAACGTGCGTGTTTTTCCGAGCTTCAATTCGGTCAGATTTCACCGAACATTTCACTTTCAGATTCTGTATTAGAGACTAAAAGGCTACAGGGAAAGTGTTGAATTCGACTTGCCGAACTATTTCAGTTTGTAAACTACTGCAGATAGTTTAACATTTTTGACAGCTTTAGTCTTGTTCAACCAATCAGATCATTTGAACCATTCTAACAAGGATTCTGATTGGCTTATTGCCGCGTGCTTTATTAAAGAAGTAAAAAACGCGCCGAATATATTGTTGACTTAGATAAGCACACGGAGATTTTTGGATGGATGAATGCTCGAGGAACAAATTTTTTATTTCTGTTATAAAATGTATCGTGAATTGCGCGCGCTCGTACCTCGAACTCGTTCTGACCAATCACGGCGCGTGTATTTCTCGGAACATTTTAAAAGGGAGTATAGATTAGTGCGTGGGGAATTGAACGGATTCTTAATTATAAACCAAAGTTGTGAGAAACTGCGTCTCTTGTTTCTCCCTACACTTCTTTCGTACTCTAGCCGCTTTCTGCGTGCTTTACAACAGAACAGAGCACATTCAAGGCCTCTCTTTTTGTTAACTAATGTGGAGTCTTAAAATAACAGTATAGGGATTGTATCGGTATCAGTCTGGGAGACTCCTTCGCCTAGCATTCTTCTCTCTTGCTTGATTAAAGAAGAAATACGGTTCTGACCCAATTAAGACTTTATCTCAGCTAATTTAAAGTATGAAAATGTACTCCCTACGAGATTTGAGATTCTCAAGATTCGCTTTATCATTAAATGTGCTAAAATTTCGTCTAGAGATGCCACCATTTTGAAAACAACTCAGCTACGTCACGCTGGTATCGAAGAAATAAAAATCATTACTTATAATTTGAGTCAAGAATGCTTATTTGCGTGACTTCCAACTGTTTACACAGATATCAAAAGAGGTTTGAGACTTGCCCTGGGACAACGGTAACCGGCAATAGTGATACACAAAATTCAAAATGTCGGCATCCGTGCTCAAAGTTTAGTAACATTTGAATACAATTTTCGAAAGGGTACGTTAACTCTTTGGAATTGCAAAACGCCGTCAGAGTCATGACACATAAAAATTAAACTCAAGTTGAGGATACTTCTCCAATAAATAATTATGTGTACTCAATCCGAAGGTGTCACCGTTACAATCACTTAGGCAGAGTCGCTCTTATTCCAAATTAAACCTCTTTTATTTGTGGGCGATTTTCCGGACTAACCTGCGAGTTACAAATTTTCCATTCCTTGCTTTCTCCCACGCAGGATTCCCCGCCATTAGATGGTCTAGTAGGTAAGAAAAAGTCAGGTGAAGATGTCTGATTGCGGGTGATATTTTATTTAAAACACATTGGATAATGCAATTCAAGAGTTTTCATTGGCTTAGCTGTCATGGTTTATGAGCCAATATGCCATGCTCAAAATTAAAACGGAGCTAAAAAAGTATCTCTGAGGAAACAATAAAGCAAATTAGGAAGATTTATCTATATTTTGGGGCGTTTTTAATGATACAATTATTCTACTTGCGCTTGTTGGATGGATAATGACGAAGAAGATTAAAGCAAATACAAGGAACTTAAAAATCGCTGGTTGAAATAAAAAATGCAAAAAACGAACGACAACGACAACAACTTGAAGCTACAAAAAACTAGACTGACACACACACACACACACACACACACACACACACACACACATACGCACCTTTGGCAACTTGTGAGGACTGTGTTTACACACACCGCTTGCGGGGACCCCCCCTTCTGCTGGCAGTATCAAAATAAAAACTACGATGTTTGATAGCTTGTTTGCCTTACTCTTTATACACTTGATTAGAATTGAGGAAATTTCAATTTTTCTTGTGGGGACTTCCTTATGGGGACCTGTCCATTACTCAACTTTGCCTACTTGTGGGTACTACTTTTAATATAAGACTTGTGAGGACATACTTACCTAACTTGTGGGGTCTCTGTTTCCACACCCCTCTTATGAGGACCACCTCTCCTTTTGCTGGAGAAGGCGAAGAAGTTTTGCTGAAGGCCTGGTACTTTCCTGCAGCGGAAGAAAACCCTCGTGATTAATACTAATAATGAAGGCCCGTTAGCGTAATCGCCTTTGCAGTCGTTGTTTGGTCTTGCAATGGGAGAGAGACTGCACTGCGTGGCGAGACTAAACAACGGCTGCGACGGAGACTACCGCAAGTGTGACACCAATGGAGTTTAGTGTTGCTTAAAACTATTCAGACACCAGTGACAATAGACCAGAAAAACACCTGTGTCTAAATTCATTTCAGGTAAATTGAATGGGTCTTTTTTGCTCTTTAATGAAAGAAATTTTTGTCGGAATCTTTTGAAGTTAACACTTTTTCTCTTTTACAAAAAATGAAAACGTCAGTCAATTAGTGTCCCACCTGAGCTTATCCATCCAAAGAAATAACTTTTGCATGCATAGCATGCCTACAATGAAGGATGACTGCGACTTAAGGAAGCCCAACTGAAAAAATCTCAAAAGTGACCCTTCAATTTGGGATAAAATACTCTTTGCAGGAAAGACCGAATCAAATTCGAAACTCAAACCTGCGGGTATCTTTCTGTGAAGAAGGCAAGAGACAGTTGATATAACTCGAATCCTGTAATGTTTACAACAAAAGTCCAACTGTCACGCTTTCAATAACACCAACTCGACAGTAATGATTTTAGGAAAAGGGCACAAAAATATTTATTGTAAAAGCTTTCTGAATTCGGCTTCTTTGATTAAGAGATGGCTTTTCAGTTTGGTGTATGAAAAACCCATGATATTGGCCAACTGGAGGAAAGGCAATACTTGACAAATACAAGTTGAGCACTACAATGGGTTCCATTTTGGTAACACACCCTTTTTTTTAACGTCTAATTTGGGGGCTGAGGTTGAACGTTCTTTTTTATGCAATTTGAGTCTGAAAACGTTCTTAAGATGTTCTGAAAGTTTTATTATTACGGACTAAATTCGACCACAATATGAGTTGTTCTTCAGTTTATCGTACAACAGTAAAAACCGCATTCTTAAGTATTTGAGTTTATTGTCCTGTTTGACCACAGTTTAACATTTCTTTTGCCTTTATTTATTCTTCTCATAAAAAAAAAGATAAAAAAGATGAGCAAAATGAAAAAGTTCTCAACTGACTCTCAGCCTGGGTATGTTCTAAGAATGTTTTAAAAATTTGGGCTAATCTCAGCCTAAACGTTCCTATTAAAAAAGGTTCTTATAAAAGAAAAAAAAGGATCTAGTACTTGGAACTTAATTAATATTGGCTTCCATCCTACACGTAACATATATAAAAGCCAGACTGGTAAGCCCTCCTCATAATCTTGGAACTTCAGGTGGCTTTTCACAAAAAAAGAAGGCAAGAGAAGTTTGAAGTTAATGGAACTGTAACACTTTAATATAATTTTAAGCAGCGATGTCTATTTAACTGTCACAGGAGAGTTATCAACCAAAGCCACTCACTAGTGAGTAGAGCAGATATTCTGCATCCCATGTTGCAGACATCTTTTTAGTGAGATTGGCCATAAAATTGTATGCTAATGGCTACTAAAATTTAACTTAAGACGTAGTTTGGTTGCACAACCCTCTGATGTTGGTTTCACAATGCTTGATCAATAACAGTTCAATTCAACCACTGTAGTTATAAATTTTTTTGTTAAAATCATTATGCAAAACTCTCTCATTGGTTTTGCTTACACTCCAGAAATGAAGCACTCTTAGTTAGTGTATATTAAAATCCACCTCTGGAATTATCAATGATCAAGTGTAAGAGACTTAAAAACGGTAAAAATTCTGGATATAACCCTGAGCTCATAATTAGGAGCTTTTTGTTGTAAAGAAGATGTTGACCAATTAAAAACTAGTTAGGCCTACAAATGGATGGCAAATTGCTTCTAATATTTTGCAAAATACATATAACAATACTGCATTGTATATTTATAACTTAACAAGGCCGGATCAGTGGTTACAAGCTACAATGCAATACTGGCTGAAACTACACCCTTTAACCAAACAGTAATGATATGGATAAAAAAAAAATTCTGTTTAGTCATATTAAGAATATTGGCGGGTATGTAAGGTCTACAGAGCTTACTATCAGGATGTATAGATTTGAGAATTTGGTAGCTTATATTGAGGTTGGGTACTTTAATATAGGCTTATATCCAAATGTTCAGGGTGTGTTTTTATAACAGTATAACCCAAACATTTGCAGGAGCCTTAGATCCTGGCGGATTATACAATTCACTAAAACTGTAAGCGCAGGAGTATTTATAAGAAGTCTTGGTAGGGCTCACCTTCGGTAACAGTGATTACGTGATGAGAATCTACAGAAACTTTTTAAAATGATTGATAAAATAAAGGGAAGCTCTATTACTTTTGAAGAAAATTGAGGCAACTGGAACATACTATTTGCCTTTGAATCAGGAGACCCACACAAACTTTGACTATAAGTAATATTTTTTAAATATTGGGAAATGCAAAAGCAAAACACCCTTAACTATCTTAATGTTAGCAATTATGTCCAACAACATAGCGAATATACTAATTATCTCAGTTGTATTTTGTTGTCCTTGCAGCTCTTGGGGTGAAATTTTAGCAAGGTAACAGGGTAGTCATTACGGGCAGGGGACCAGGGAGTTTCATAGAGGATAGAATAAAAATAGAACCAAAAAGGAAATCCCTAGCTGCTTAATTTCCTGCCTTCTTTCTGTAGTTACCCAGAAACTTGAGATCTTTGTGACAGCCCTGAGATTGGAAGAGTTTGGCAAAACAGTAGGTTACCCTGCACAGGATTAGTTATACTTTGAGATAACAAAAACAGAACGATTCTATTAGTTATACTTAGGGGCAAGAACCTGCTTTTTCTTGTCGATCTGATTTTTCAAAAAGTATTAAACAGCATGCCGGTCCTTAAGTTGTTTGTATTTTAAAAAGCAAGTGTTGCACTAAATGCACCATTTGCTTTTAAAATACAATTCTAAAAGTTTAGTTTTCTTAATAACGTCATTGTTTGACAAAGTTAAATATGTGATGCCAAACCCTTTCAATTGGTTATATCTTAATACTCCAATCAAGAGCTAAATAGAGCACTCTTAGTTTGTGTAATACTGAAATCTACCTCCATAGTTATCAATGACTGAATTTGAGAAAGTCGAAATAATGTAAAAATTCTGGACACAACCCTAAAATCCTATTTTTAAGGTAGCTTATTTTTAAATTTTGTCCAATTATAAAATTTTGAGTTGGAATTACAAGTGGATAACATATTGATTCTAAGACTTTTAAAAGTTTTGATGTCAATACTACAGTTTATATCATTTTACACTTGACAAAGCCAATTTAATGGAGGATTGGTGGCTTACACTTTGGGGGGGGGGTATTTTGGGATTGGCCTATATCCAAAAATTTATGGTAGAATTTAACATATTCTATTTGTCGTTGAATCACAGGGTATCCACGCAAACTATGACGATAAGTTTTTTTAAAAATATTGGAGATGTTTGGAAACAGCAAAATACCCTTAATTATCATGAATTACTGTTTTTGTTGTCCTTGCAGCTATTGAGGTTGAATTTTAGCAAGGTATTAAGGGTTGTCATTAAGGGTGGGGAAAGATCAGTTCACTTAGCCATTTTTAGCGGCAAGAACCCTCTTTCTCCAATGTCAATATGATTCTTAACAAAATATTTAACAGCATGCCAGTCCCTACCATCTAATGCACCATTTGCTTTTAAAATACAGTTCTTACAGTCCAATTTTTCCCCTGTAAAGCGTCTTTCTCTGACAAATGAACTAGGGTGCTTAAAAAACTGCCTCCTTCTCTTCTTCTGTACATAAAACATGGGCATCTTACTCTGTAAAGAAAATCAAAATAAGCATAACAAGTAAGCTTTCAGCTAAAACTTACTCCTCTTATAATTATAACATTTTCTCTACTTACTCTTTGACTTTGACATTCCCCGGTCCACATTTTCCATGTCCATGTGACTGCTGCGTTTTTCGGGGAGGGAAGGGGGGAAGGGGGAGGGTTAATTTCTTTGCAAGTAGTCCCCGTAAGTAACTGTGTATTAGCATGTCGCCACAAGAATGGAAAGTAGTCCCCATAAGTAGTTGTGTGTTAGCATGTCACCATAAGTACGGCAAGTAGTCCACATTAGTAGCTATGTAGAGCTTTTCCCTTTAAAGTGCCTATGACACGAAATTTTGAAATTTTTTATTTTGCATTTTCTGGTTGATAGCTGTATTTAAAATTAGAGATCATTAACCATAGCGCTTAGCGAGTTCTCCTTGACCAATTTTTTTTGTCCATTGGAAGTACGATTTGGCGGCCAAAAGTGTCGCCACTAAGCGAGCGGCCAAAATCATGTTATATAGCTGTGACGTAGAAAACTGTGAAGACGCGTAAGCAATTATGGTGGAGAAAGGAGAAATATAATAGAGAGGACGAACATAGTGCGTGGCTGGAGCGCCCAATGATTTTCGCTACAAGAATAATACACATAAACCGGGCAATTATATACACGACTTTCCAAATGATGTAGCTGTATGGCCAAAATGGACGCTTTCGATCGTCGACATCGAGGAGATTCTACTCTTTAATTTCGTCGGCCTTATTCTCCGTACCGGCTTCGAAGACGCCTGTTGCGAACACATACCACAAATCAGGGTAAGATAACCGATGAATTCAGCTAAAACGAATGCTGATTAAGGGCCCTGTTTCCACACTATACACGATTGTTCAACATTCTTTCCGGCTGACATTTCGCAAATGAAAAATGGTGAGCTCCTTCTTGATGTTTATTTCACGCGCTTGAGATGTACTCACTCTTTTTGTCTTTCCACATGACTACATTTGCGCTTTTCTTATCGTATGAATATCATACCAATTGTAGCTTCCATCGTATTTTGATAAAAGATTTACATCAATTGTAATGAAGTTCAAGCCCTTTCCTGAGCTGACCGATATCCTGTTGCGTGAACAGTGTGCAACCTCTGACGGATAATGGCATAAAAACAAGCTTAAAGGGGCCGTGTATTCTCCTAACCTAGGTTTCCGAAAATCCATCTGACGAGCTATCAATTCCCCCCTACCCTCAAGAAACCAAAAGTAGCAATATTAGCAATTTCATTGGGATAACAGCACCACAACGATATAAATAAGGAAACACAAATTTTATTGAATTAGATAGTAACGAATTCAAGTGCCGTATGAAAGTCGATGCGTACGAAATATTCATTAATAATACTGATGTCCGTTATTTCCTTTGTGCGGAATGGGTCATATGGCAATGCTGCACTTAAAATAAATAAGGTTTTTTTTCTATTAAAATGCCTATATGAGATTAACTTGAATCAGATGACTATAAACTCACTCGTTTTCCTTTCGGTTTGACCGGCTCGACGACCGTGACCATGGCTTCTGCCTTTGCAATCTATGGGAGAAGGAGCAACTTGCAGTAGAACTGCTCGATTACCCTTCGGTGGAAAATCATCGTGCCTCGTGATACAACTGATTCTTTCTTCAAAAGTTAGCTTTTGGTTTACCAAGGGAATTTCTCTACAGCAACGAAACACTAGAGCACTGACCGAGAGGAACCTAATAATATTGGTCATGAAACGGATGTAAAACAGTCGTTGCCGCATTTAAAAAATTTGCTTCTGCTTCACGCCCGTGACAAAAAGAATGACATGTTTCTTTATACATGGAGATCATATTATTGATTTCTTTTCACAGCGTGGATTGGCGCCATGGCCATGGGTTCTAATTTTTTTTTTTGGTCTTATATCAAGTGCATTGTGTGATCGTCTTGGATGCCGTGTTGTGTCCTTTGCTGGTGCGCTACTATCCGTCCCAGGGTTGTTCCTGACCTCCTTCATACAAGAAGCTCATAAAATGTATGTGACCTACGGACTTGTATGGGGAGTGGGTTCTAGTTTCTCCTATGTGTCGTCTACCGTTCTCCTGGGTGAATACTTTAATAGAAGGCGCTTGCCAATGGGATTGCATCATGTGGAGGTGGCGTAGGCTCTCTTGTTACCGGGCCGGTCATAAATTACCTACTGGCATCTGTCGGATGGAAACACTCACTAACAATGCTATTGCAACAGAAACGAACAGAGGTATCCACAAAACACAAGCGCAGCAAACTAGACATTCAGTAACGGGAATTTTTGTTCTAATCTTGACCTAAACAATGCAAGCGGGAAACCGCCTTTGTCAGTCTTCGTATAAATCTTCGTTTAATGCAGCGCGGTTCTCCTTCTTAGGGCTGAACCGTACTCGCAACTTTCATTTCTTCTTTATAACTTGAGTACGGTGTATTACAACTCTCGGTAGAGCTTACTTAAGGTAGGTAGACATCGCTATCGGTCGTTATTTCAAAATCATTTCAGCGCTGACTTATACAAAATTGCAAGAGATGTGAAAGGTATTTTGGTGTAGACTGAGAGTTTTCACAGTTTTCTACGTCATCAGCCGCTAATTCGTTACCAGTCCACGGGACACTTTTAAGACAAAAGCACTTTAGGGCCCGAAAAAAACCGAGTTTTAAGTCTGGGACTATTCTTCAATCGGAATTGGTTTCTACATATGATAAGCTAAATATTTACGCAAAAAAATTCGTGTCATAAGCTCTTTAAGAATGGCAAGTAATTCCCATAACTAGTTGTTTTAGAATGTCCCCATAAGTAAGGCTGGTAGTCCCCATAAGTAATTGTTTTAGCATGCATATCCCCTCATGCACGGGAATCTACGAACGCGTGGCCGCCACTTTGAAAAAGTGACCGATGTACCCTGGGACGAGGTTGGCAGCTAAGCATGAAACGGTCTAGGATCACTTCCTAGTGTAGTTCAACTTGGTAAGTGACCGATCTTTCCTCTCTTTTTTTAACATAGTTAGCGCCTTAAACGTGTTTGTGAAGAACAAAAAAAAATGTGTAGTTTATGGCTCTCAAGAACAATATAGACAGAAGAACAAGAGAAATTAGTTATGAAATTGAAACCACCTACAATCTTGTACTCACCATTTCAGTCATTTTCCGCCAGTGTTTTCCTTTTGAACTTTCTTGTTTCACCTTGACCGACTGTAAGAAGAAGCTTGCTCACTTTGGAAATTTCAACTGCAGATTCGTGAAGACAGTAGAAGTCTCCATGCACTTGGATTTCATGACCAAGGTGTCTTGCTTAGTCGGTATACCTCTGTTCTTTTGAGAGAGACTACTTGGGAAATGGTTGCCATATACTTTCTGAGTTTGGTACTGGCTATCTCTGTAAGGTTTCACAGAGGTGGGCCGCCTTCCATAGCAAATTTGACTGTCTATTTGACCTAGCAACTATTAAATGGATTTTCATCTGGAATACCCACGGCTTTCCTTGTCTTGTTGAGGAGGTCGATGCTGTTTTTCACCTCAGGTGTCAAAATTACTGTTACAGTCCTGCCCCACTTACTACGAATCTCAACTATGCCTGATCTGTTTTAAAAATATGATAATTAAAACATAAATTACGTTTACTCAAACAATATTTTACAAACTCAAATTATAGAAATTCCCCCAAGGTATTAAAATATAAAAATGAAACAGAAATATTTTCTTTTAATGGCCCAAAAAGGCATTATTAGCATCAGAAAAACACGTCATTATGCTGAACATTTTGAAGACTTCATAAAATGTTCTCACTGTCTTTGCTGTAATTGTGATATCATGACATCAGGATTTGCAATGTGTTACCCAGTCAGGGTTGATGAAAATACCAAGGAGAAGGGGGCAAGGCTAAAAAGAATGACTTTCCGGATTTAATTTAGAAATTAGAAAGCTAAAATAGGCAAAAAAAAATAAAGAACCAAAAAAAAAGGAAAAACCAAAAAAGTATCGATGCAACAGCATGAGACTCTTTAACATTATAGTACATTTTTGCAATCATAATATTATCATTCCACAGATTTAGCCACCAGTTAGATCTACCCTTCCTGGTTTCATTGTTGTTGTCAGGCAATGTTTTTGGTCAGTCAGTTTGAGTGTCTTAAAGAAGCTCAATTCCAGAATTTTCATGACATTTTCCTTGATAACTGGAGACTTTGTTGAAGTAGGAGATGAAAATACGACTTAAATAAGGTTTGGACTAAGATAGGGCAAGCATGCTATGTTATAAGCATGTTTAAAAGTATTATTATCATAATAATCATTATTACCTGACACAGAATGAAGGACTTTTTCAGGTGCATTGCTCTGCGATGCATTATTCCACCGTTGTAAGAAGAAGGAACTGGAGATGTAGATTTCTTTCCCCTTTGAATTCAAGAGGAAAAATAGTGAGTTATGCTGAAAGTCTTGTTTATGGCAAAACTGGAACAAATAAAAAAAGCTTAATTACTATAACTTGAAACTTCTAAGTTAGGAAAGCATTATAAATATATATGCCCCAGTGGGAAAAAAAAAGAAGTTGATGAGAGATTCCTAGGCCCAGTTGTTCAAAGGCCAATAAGCATTAACCCAGGATCAAATTTTTATCAAGCTTCTTTGTTCCTTCTTTCAAAAGCCTTTTTTGGATAATCTTCTCTTTTCTTTTCATAGCATCCAATTTTTAAATTGGAGACAAAAAGAATTGTATTGAATTTTCATTTAAAGCTTTCAGATCTGGAACCAGATTTCACACTAAGCCTGGATTATCTAAACCTAGCTTTGAACAACTCAACCCGAAAAAGGATTTGGAAACCCCCCCTTACAGAAATTCTTTGCAATAAGGGAGCATGATCAGTTCAGTATACAAAAGTGTAAGTAAGTGAGAGTAGAACATGACCTGTCTGTGGAAATTTTACTGAAGCAGTTATACAAAATGGCAACGTTGGTTGAGCAAGGACAACTACTGTGGAACTGAATGGCCAGATTAAGAGATGATCATATTGTTCAAGATACGGGCCAGACAAAAATCACTCCAAATTAAAACAATCCAACCAGTCAATAAAATAAATCTGAGTAGTTAAGGATTGATCACTAATTGTGTTATTGTACTTGTTAGATGTTTCTTTCCAGTTTGTATCTCCCTTACAATGCCATTTCGTAAAATGATACTCTCTGATAGACCTGTGTGGCAAGTGGTCGCTTATTTCAGCATAACAAGTTCCTTTTCCTTCAAAATATGTCAGGTAATTGCTTAATATGTGGCTATCAATATAAATTTAGTGACTATCTTTAAATTAAGCCAAATTGAAAGGCAGAGATTCTAATTATTCGATTGCTTTGTAATTCGCTTCATCGTTTACCCAGCATTCCTTATCACTCAACCCAAGTTTCCACTCGTGAAATTGCTGCAAGGAGTCTGCAGATATTTAGTTATTCCGATTCATGGAGGAAACATCCTTAGTTGTTATGATATTTATCTGGAATTGTTCATCAACATCAGCCATGTTGTTGCTCTCGTTCATATTTTGTTCTTTGTTGCGTTGCACCTTACTCTCAACTTTGCCATCTTTTACTGGCATCTTACCTTCATTAACTACATAGTTAAGAAAAAGGAATGTAACAGTTTTTTTTCTTGTTTTGTGATAATCATTATTTCTTAGTAGAGCCAAACTTCATTTAATAACTTCAACTCTTCTATGTCAAAACCACCATCTTTTGATGCATTAGTTCCTGGGAGTTTTGTCTGAGAATGTCTTTCGAAGCTATTCAAACCGTTTCTTTTAGTCACTTTGAGGGTCTGAAGAGCGAAATTGTCCAAAACACCGTTTATAGATACTGTTCTTTCAGATGCAAATCATAAGCTTCCGCAGTTTGGTTATGCACAAAAAGCAGTCTTACACCTTTTGCTTTTCCTCCTCCCCTTTTCTTGCACTTTTCTTACACCACTGTTTTACTTTTTAGCCGTGGTAGTAATAGTTCATTGTTTTATGATTTTTAAGGCTTTTGTTTGGTTGCAACTTACCTTTGACGTTGGAAGAGAATGTATAATGATATTTATGAAGACATTTGAAATGGCAAAAGCCACTTGCAAAAACTCAGTGGGGATTTAATATTGGAAAACTATTTCTGTAACATCAAAAATATCTTTCATTTTCCAAAGAGCCCTAAGAATTGATGGGCTCAGAGTGTAAGGGAAATATAATAGAGGGTGTGTGTATGTACATACCAGTTTCCAAGGAGTCTGTAAATAGACAGTCATTGATCTGATTCAGGGAGTAAATCTCTTCAGAATTTGTTGTTACATCTATGTGGAAACTTTCATCATTGTCAGGACTGCTGTTGCCCTTGTTCATATTTTCTTCTTTTTTGTGTTGCACCTTACTGTCCCATTCTTTAGTCCATCTGCCTTGCTCTCATTACCTAAGTGGTTAAGAAAAAGAAATGTGTAGAGCTTTGCTAATTTGTGTGAAACCAGGAATGAATAATTGGAGCCATCATCATAATCATTGTCGTCATCATTTGAAGTATTATTAAAAAAAATAACTTTTAGATTGTTTTGACCAAGGACGGTATGAGTTGTCATGATATCTAGACAGATTGTATGGTATTTGCAATATTCATGTTAAGAGAGATTAATATACGTAATCATAACAGGACTGAAACGGTTTGCATTTGAGTAAATCTAATTCTGGAATGGAGAATTAAATGTTATAATTTTTTATCCTAAGGGCTATGAATGTTCCCCTAAAAAAAAACAAAACAAAACAAAACAAAACAAGAAAAAAAAAAACGAAATTATCTTTAGAAGAGATGGGGCAAACACCCTGATAGCTCATGGGGTCCATTACACTGAAACACAAGCAAAGAAAAGAGTTGCTGCAGTTCTGTTAAGTATGACACAAGTCTCCCAAAACAAGTTATTAATGGTTAGGTTGCAATACCTTTTAGCTTTCGCCAGGGAAGATCTCTAACTTCATGGTCACAGTGTAGACCTTCACCGTTCCGAAGTCCACAAAGGGCAAGGCACACTTTGTCTTCACCGTTAATCTTTCTCATTTGCTTTATTTAATGGATTATCGTTTTTTAGTCTTCCAAGTCCAGCAGAGAATGTTGCATCAAGGCTAGAAAATCCACAAAAATCAAAGTTATAATTGGAAAAGAGCAGTCTCAATTTGTTCCTTGTAAAAGTGTAGTGTAAGGTTTGATGACTTAGTTTCAGTTCTTCCTTCGGTTGTGTGGCGCAGACCAAGCCCATCTAAAATTACACAACTACTTTATTTACAATGAAACTTAAATGCAACTCATGATAAAGCCAAAAAAGTGCAAAAAAAGTACCATATATTTTGATGGTAATTTTATTTCATTTGGAGTAAATGATGACAAATCATGAAGCACATTACACACAAAATAGTATGTATTTCAGTATCAGTGATTAACAATCTCATGAAGCCTATTTGAATTCATTCAGGTCGATTTGTGTACAGTAGTCTTAGGACAGCCTCCCCACTACCTTAAAATCTTTTTGTTTAACTTAGCGCTTACGGTTAGTGACGTTTTACTGTATTATAATTAAAATAACTTACCGTAAACACTTGAATCCATCCTTAAAAAAAAGAGAAAGCTTCTTAGTTCTTCCACATGCAAATCTTCTCTTTGATAACCTTCATCCTCTGAGACAAGTTCCCCTTTATATTAAAGAGGGAGATCACCCTTTGAAAACTTCTCTGTTGGAACACACCTCACCCTTAAAACAAAATTATACCAAATCCGTTGATCATTTTGCTTCCCTTTTTGTGGCTACTTCCTCCTGTGGGAGGCAAAGCCATATATATGATCGAAATGAGTAAGTAGCTGTAAATGAGTTAATCACTCTTAGCCTTAACCCCTTAACTCCCAAGATCTGATTGGTAATTCTCCCTTCTAGCTGCTACACATATCCTTGCAAATATGTTGTGAGAATTTGGTGTTAGATCAGGACAACAACTTCTACCTGATAAGTTTGAATATTCTCATGAGCTGTTTGCAAGATAATATAAGGACATTATCGGGAGAAATTTCATGTTGATCACTTCTGGGAGTTAAAGGGTTAGAGATAAAACAGTTAGGTTCTCGAGCTAGCCCCTATAAATTTACCGTTATTATTATCTTTATTATGATTATTTGTTACCATTTAGTTATTGCCTGAATGTCAGTCAATCACTATATTCGCGAATCATCTTTCTCTCCACAAACAGGGTACTCATAGATACGTGGGTTACGGCAGTTTACTGTTTTACATGTGAATGGAAATTTTCTGCAACACTACCTTCTAGCATCATGATACAACCCCGTAGTTATCTTCAATGCTATAAAAGTCATACTATATCAGTGGCCACATGCAAGGTTAGGCTGCCTATTTTTTAGCTAGCAAGAAAAGTAATGTAATTGCCTTTCCATGGTCTACTAGTAATTTCCAAAGCGTTCCAATTTTCTAAAGCTGACCCTCTTCGTCTAAACCATTCTAATAATATTGTTTTTTGGTATTGTTCTCTTTTGTTTGCTCTATCTGTGTCACACATATTACCTTTGGCTACGATTTTAGTCGAACAGTTTTTCCCTGGACACAATAAGATGTACGAGGAAGTTTAGCATAAAATAGAGTCTGAAAGGGATTGTAGTCTAATGATCTTGGACTAAGAGGAAGAAGGAGTTTTGTTGCAGTTCCATGTCACCTATATGCGGGGTAACTGTAAAGTACATTGAATTGCCTTCAGTTGGGGATCTGAGAGTCTGACAAAACCGATGTACCTCCCTCGGTCATTCTTTGTTGTAAAGGACTGCTACCAAATAAATAAACAAACTGATAAAAAATACATAACCACAAAATTTTTAAGATCAATAAATTTACACCATTTTTTAAGCTGTGGAGTATTCCGAAGGACGCATTCTTTTGATTTCTTAAATCTGAAAAGGCCGCCCTTTTCCTCCAAAAATCCCCAAAAACGGGCTTACGCCAACTTTAAAATCATATATGGAAATGTTGCAACAGTTTCATGAATCTTTCCCGGTAGTGACAAAATCTCTACTGTGATCCGCATGATTCTGACCTTCCCTTAGCAAATAGCAGCAGACGTTTCTTTCTCGCGGGCCGGGCAAAAGACAACAAACGCCCTATTCACGTACATTTTGTAAATTTTTCCAATTAAAAAAAAAAAAAGTAGCAAACATTTGTCCAATGAATTTACCGTTCCTTTGCTTTTCCTAAAAGATGGCAAGTTGTTTGAGCCCTTTTTTCACTCGAACACAACAGACAAATTTTTAAAATAAACTTCAGTGTTCTACAAAGCTGCACTTCATCGCATAAATTCATAATCATAGTAAAAGGTGATAAGATAACGCGGGTAATTTTATTTTTAGATTATGAGGGGACTCTGTGAATTACTATGGCGCTATATCCACAAAAAGATTACCCCAATTGGCGCCCGTTTTCCAGCAAGGCTTCATTAACTTAATTCACAAATAAATCACATCAAAGGAACGTTTTACTTACGCCGTCTTGAGAAATTTTGCGTCCTTGGGCCGATTTGTACAGATCAATTTTTGGCCCCTCATTAATTTCCCGCCAATTTATTCCCTGTCAAATTTCTTGGTCACTTTCCCCCACACGATTCCATTGAAATGCTCTCGCTCTCCTTAGCAAAGTTTTAACCCTTAAATTTATATTTGGTAAACATTGTGATCATCGTATTTACACTTTTCGCCGAGTGATCAGTGATTAAGAACGGGGACTTTCTCAAATAGATAAATCCGTCTTTTCGTCTCAATTTTACCCAAATTTCTTACTCGACCAACTAAGTAACTTTCTGTGCGGCAAATTCTGGTAAATTAAGTTCATTATTTAAAAAAAAAATAATTCGATAGCTTCAAATTTATCCTATAATTTCATCATGACAATAACAACAACGAACAACCAGTAACAGCATGACAAACGATTTTGTGTACAGACCGTGTGGGCACCTTAGGTCGCTATCATCGCAAAAAAATTATCTTGAGGGTCATATTGCAGCACAGAGAATATTAGCAACCTAAGACCGCGCAAACATGTTATGAACTCATACTAAATAATATGGCCATTCCCGCACAAGAAAAAAAAATTCCGTTTTTTTTTTTTTTTAACAAATCCCCCGAATTTGAAGTAGATTTTCAGCTAAAAACCAACACGGTAAATTATTTTTAAAGTAAGTTCTGATAAATAACGTCCAGGTTTCTCCATTAAAAGGTTCGATATGCAGTTGTACTTCATCACATAAATTAATCAGCACAGTAATAGATTACAGGATTGCGCGGGAAATTTTGTTTGCAGAGCACATGGGGACTCTTACTATGGCGCTGTATCTCTACGAAAAAAAGTTACCCTTGTATTTGATTAACACCAGTTTCCAGCAAGATTTCATCGCCTAAATTCATACGTAAATCCTATTAACGAAACAATTTAACTTACGCCGCCTTGAGCAATTTTGTGTTCTTGAGCCACTTTGCACTGTTTTTTTTTTTTGCGTGTGTTATTAATTATTACCCGCCAATTTTAATGTCGAATCTGTTGCTGTCTTTCTGCCACACAATTTCATGGAACTTTCTTCGCCCCCTCAGCGAAGTTTTACCTCTCAAGTCCATGGTTTGGAAACATCGTCAAGTCTATTTGGTCTTACTATTTTCGCAATTAATTAAATATTTTGCCATGGATATAACCCACCATGTGGGGACCTCTAAATGACGAGAAAACACATCCGTGCATTTTAATTATCATTTCACCCGATTTTATGAGTCGACATAGCCTCTTCCAATAGACATCTTACCAAAAGAAACAATAAACTGTTCTCATTAAGCTTCTGCCCTTTTCTATCGTTAAACTGCTCGCGCCTTATGTACAAACTCGTCACCATCATGCATCAGATTTTATGGGGACCTTCGCAAGGAAAAAAAAGGTGCCCTCTCTTCGCAATTTTATCTGAATTTCTAAATCGACTGATCGAAACGAGCGACTAGATTAAATCCTTTAGACTAAGTTCAATTTTTCCGTTGAAAAGGCTCGGTACTTTCACTTCAACACATAAATTAATCATGATAATCGCAGTAATCAGTAACACTGCACGACTGAGAATTTCGTCTTTGGACAATGTGAGGACCATGTTAAAATTTGGTCCGATGTCACACAACAGAACAGAACAGAAAAGTGAAAGGTGAAGAACATAACGATGACTTATAGCTTACCTTTAAAATAGTTACATTTTGGCTCCGCTTATACTCCAGATGCAACTGAAGTCTCATGGAACTTGCTATGCTTATCATACTGGCAGTTGGGCTTATGTTTCATTAACAGATCAGTAAAAAAAATGCAAAACATTTGGATTTATCACAACACTTAGAAGTAGAGATAACACACGTCACGAAAAAACATTTTCACTCGGTTCTTTAGACAAAAAATAGTCTTTTCATCTTTCTTATCCTTTGACAAATTTCGATCACCTTTGGTCCCCTAAATTGTTCGTTGCTCCAAGACCGGAGCAATGGGAACTACAAAAAAAATAAATTTATGCCGTCTAATGTTTCCTATCTTGAACAGATTCACTCACCACTCCGTGGGTCCCCTTAATTAGGGTTTTTGTTTTTCGATACATTACACTGAAGTCAAAACGTTAACAACTTGTATCCCTCTGCTACCCGCCAGTAAACGTTTACTTATTGCACTGACTTAGTAGACAGCATAAGCAGCCTTTGCCCACCGAGCATTTTGTTTATTATTTCACCCGATGTAGCCTCTTCCAATAAATATCTGACCCAAAGAAACATTAAGTTGTTCTCATTAAGTTTCTGTCCTATCACCAAACTGCTCATGCCTCATGTGCAGACATTTTGTTATCATGCAGTGAAAAATTATGGGGACCGTCGCAAGAAAAAAAGAAAGCCGCTTTCTCTTCGCAATTTTACCCTAATTTCTTAGTCAACCGTTCAATTCGAAACGACCAGCTAAATAAATTCCCTCAAACTAGGTTCAATTCTTCCCGCGGAAAAGGCATGGTGCTTTCATTTCATTGCATAAATTGATCATGATAATCACAGCAATCAGTTACACTGCACGACTAAAATATTGTCTTCGGACAATGTGGGGACCAAGTTAAAATTTGCTCCGTTGTTCACCAAAGATTATCCGGTAGGGACAATGTAGAACAGAAAAATAAAAGTTAAGAACATAGCGACTTATAGCTTACCTTAAAATAGTTTCTTATCCATTGACAAATTTCGATCACCTTAGGTCCTCTTAATTGTTCATTGCCCCAGGACCGGAGAAATGGGGACTATACAAATAAACAAGTTAAAAGATCAGTAAAAAATGCAAAAAATTTGGATTTGTCACAACACTTAAAAGTAGAGATAACGCACGTCACGAAAAAACATTTTTCACTCGGTTCTTTAGACAAAAAAAAAATAGTCTTTTCATCTTTCTTACCCGTGGACGCATTTCGATCACCTTTGGTCCCCTTAATTGCTCATTGGCCCAGGACCAGAGAAATGGGGACTACACAAAAAATAAATTTGTGCCGTTTAATGTTTCTTATCTTTAACAGGTTCCCCTTAATTAGGTTTTGTTGTTTCGATACATAACACTAACGTCAAAAAGTTAACAGCTTCCATCCCTCCTGCTTACCGCCAGTAAACGTTGACTCATTGCACCGACTTAGTTTATAGGAGGAAAAGTAGCCTTTAACCATGGTACTTCTGTTACAGAATTGTGCGGGAAATTTGGTTTGCAGAGTGCGTGTGGACTTATTAACTATGGCGCTATATTTTCACAATAACTTTACCCCGTGTATTTGATGAGCACCCGCTTCTAGCAAGATCTTATCTCCTAAATTCATACATATATTCCATCAACGTAGCATGTTAACTTACGCCGTCTTGAACATTTGTTTTTTTGGGCCAGTCTGTACTGTTTTTATTTTTTTGCGTGTGTATTTAATAATTTACCGCCAATTTTTATTTCCTGTTGAATCCGTTGCTTTCTTTGTGCGTCAGGATTCCATCGAAATGATATCGCTCTCCTTAGCAAAGCTCCACCTAACAAGCCCATTATTTGGTCAAAATTTTGAAAATGACAATTACATTTGCGCTAGAAATTTTACCTAAGTCATAATCCACCATGTGGGGACCCTAAAAATGACGAGAAAACACATCCGTGCATTTTGATGATTATTTCACCCGATATAGCCCTTTCAAGAGATATCTTACCAAAGGAAAATAAGTTGTTTTCATTAAGTTTCTCGTCTTTTCTATCACAAAAATGCTCATGCCATATGTGCAGACATATCGTTATCTTGCAGTAAAAATTATGGGGACCGTCGCAAGCAAAATAGAAAGCCGCTTTCCCTTTTCTTTTCAAAAAATCCTTTGGGGCTTTCATTTCATCACATAAATTGATCATGATAATTTGGCTGATGCGCCATCAACAGATCAGTAGGAAAATGCAAAACAATCGGGATTTGCCAAAACACTTAAAAGTAGAGATAGCGTGCGTCACGAAAAAACATTGTCAATCTTTTTTATCCTTTGAAAGTTTCGATTACCCTGAGTCCCTTAGTTGTTCATTGCACCAGGACCGGAGTAACGGGGACTATACAAATAAATAAGTTTATACCCTGTAATCTTACATATCTTTAAATTTATTCCAATTTTCACCAAAGACTATGCGGCAGGGCAACAAAGAAGCTTACTGACCTATAGCTTACCTTTAAAGTAATTACATTTCGACTACGCTTATACCCTAGAAGCGCCTGATTTAACTTAATTCTCGAGGAACTTGCGATGTTTATCACACTAGTATTGAGCTAATGGGTCTTGGACAAATCAATAGTAAAATGCAGAAAAAATTGGAATCTCCCAAAACACTTAGAGGTGGAGATAACGCGCGTCACCAAAAAACATTTTTCATTGTTCTTATGCATTGATAAATTTCAGTCACCTTAGGTCCCCTTAACTGTTCATTGCCAAAGGACCGGAGCAGTGGGAACTATACAAAAGAATAAGTTTATACCCTTTAATCTTCCTTATCTTTAAAATTCAGTCCGATGTTCACCAAAGATTACACGGCAGGGCAATGCAGAGCAAAGAAGCCACCCTAGAACCTCCTGATTTAACGGAGGTCTCAAAGAACTTTGCTATGCTTATCCTACCAGAAGTTGGGCTTATACGTCATTAACAGATCAGTCAAAAAATGCAAATCATCTGGTTTCTCACAACACTTAAAAGTGTAGATAACGTACGTCAAGAAAAAAACATTTTTCAGTCGGTTCTTTGGGCAAAAAAAATAGTCTTTTCATCTTTCGTTTCCGTTGAAAAATTTCGATCACTTTGGTCCCCTTAATTGCCCATTGCCCCAGGACCGGAGAAATGAGGACCATACAAAAATACGTTTATGCCGTTTAATGTTTCTTATCTTTAACAGGTACTCTCGCCATTCCGTTGGTCCCCTTAATTAGGTTTTGTTTTTCTGATACACTGACGTCAAAAAGTTAACAGCTCACAACCCTTCTGCTACCCGCCAGACATCGTTGACTCATTCCACTGACCTAGTTAATGACAGTATAAGCAGCCTTTGACCACCTCAGTTTTGTTACTTCCTACAAAGAGTAGTTTAGTGAAAAACACAATTCCTTGCGTACTCATACCGAGTGACAAAACAAATTGATCCCTACATTTTGATCACCCATTCACAAGAAATATTCGGACAAATGTTACGATTCACAAGCTGAAATTGGACCTGAATGAAGTTCTAAGTAGGTTAAATGACGAATTCATCGCCATGTCGCAGACAAGAAGTAGTCCTTTGGTCGTTCATTGCTATCACCTTTGGTCTGCTTAATTTGTCAATGCTCCAAGACCGGAGCAATGAGGTCTATAAAAAGAAATAAGTCTATACCCTGTGGTCTTTCTTATCTTTGGCAGTTAACTTACCGTTTCAATTAGTTTCTTCTCAATTGAATATATTTTAATGGCAGAACATTATTGGATGACCCAGCCACAACGTGAGCACATTTACCGACAGGACAAACTACTAAGGAAAACAAGACAAAATAAATATGATTTGTTACTTTGGAAACTAGGTGAACGCGTCAAGCAAAGTGCGGTATCTCATCGGGGAGGATCACAGACTGGGCCAGCTATAGAGCGGCGGAAATCAAGCCTATCTGGCCTTAAGCGAAGTAATAATATGAACGATGACGGAGCGCAAAAGTCGTCTGCTACTTACGGCGGTTCGAAAAGATAAATTAGTACAGCAGCTTAAGATACAGAACATAAATCGGATGTTGTGTCCCCTACTTCCCCCCACCTTTTTTTACCGGCGTGCTAGACTCCGGTTCTACCTAGTGCCATATGGTGAGCTCCCTAAAACATGACCGCATTCTCTCAGGCACCAATAAAAATTCAGTTTTTATCATTGCGACCGCGTTAATAATACCGGCTTGTTATTATGTCCAACGACCAACTTTAGAGATTTTCCCAGAGTTTTCTCAAGCCATTCCAAGGATTGGTTCAGGTGCGAAGTTTTTTTCCATTACACAGAACAACACCCATTTGATATGAAAGCGTTACCTTTTTCAAAACCATAGTTTGGTAAACTCCTATATACTTATATACTTGTCTCCCCAAAGAATGATTTAAGAGTGAATTAAACTTTTTTGTATCATTTTCACATTGCTTGTTGTTCGTCTGATCTGTCGTGGACCTGTTCGTTCCTTCAGTTAGCATCTTGCCTGAACCTTGCATGGTTGCTCGCCTTGACGTCAGTAATCCAGTGAACAACTATTTACTGCTTCTTTTGAACGAAAAAATTCTCGACTCCAGCTCATCAATGCTTCTTATGGTGTCAAACTACTGACATGCCAATTGAGGCCACGTCCACTTTATCACCTTTCTCTGAAGACCAAAAACAAACAAGTACCCTTGGAAGGCCACTATATCTAAAGCTCGTTGGATCCTATCGTATAAATTGCTTACTTAAGAGTGCTGAGCATGCATAGAATTTATACAGATATTTTTCTTCCCCTCCAACGTCCAACGAGCTAACTTACCGGGTAGTCCCAGTTGCTTTTGCGACACAAAATGGGTCAAGCGCCTGCTGTATAGCTCCGGTTGGCAAGGCATGATAGTGATATAAGAAACAAATAATTTATTTTGAAAGTCCTAGCCCTTCTTCCGTAAAGTAATACCTTGGGAAATCAGGCGATCCTCTGACATAGTCCACTTAACGCTTAACTTCCGCGTACCTCGAAACAGTCACCCGAGACCTTATGGCGACGGCGTCGACGTAAAATTACGAAAAGATCTTGGAAACCGTGAGTTTCTTATTCCAGCAATTGTGAACCTTTGAAAGTTTACTGAGTGTCTTGCCGATTTCGTCCTTGCTAATATCTGCCATGCCAAAAGTAAGAGACACTATTCTCATGGCTTATGCCCGTAATTTGATCGATGATACAGAGTACTTGTTTCTATATAACGTTAAGTTCTCCCAAAAATCCTTTTTATTCTATATTGGAGCCACGAACGCTTCAATCTGGACATGATGACAGATAAAGAATGCAAGAACTTACTGAAGTATTGAACCCTCCAGGCCTGATTGTTTGCTATAACGACGTCAACATGGACACAACTGAGGCATTCTACATATTTCTCAGGCGGTTTGCCTGCCCGAGCAGGTAAGTGGAATTGATACCACGATTCGCGATACCTGAGCCTCAACTTTGAATGATTTCGCATACTGTGATGGATTCCATTTGCACTGACTGGATACATTTGCTGTTGGATTGGATCAGCCGTGGATAAGTCGCCCACCTTTGTAGACATTCACAGAAATTATCAGCGAGAAAGGAGCGGATGATGTACAACGGCCCTATGAAAGTACATTCAATGAAATTTAAGTCCATTGCTACACCCAACGGCCTTATTGCTACCCTCTATGGCCCGGTGGAGGGTAAAAGGCACAACAGCGTAATGTTGGCTCGATCCAAAGTGTTGAACCAGCTTCAGGAGGAGGCACCTTATGCATTCATGGCGATCCAGCGTATCTTCTCCGACTTCACTTTCAGAGTCCATTTCACGGCGTTACTGACAGACCTTCCAAAAGCTTGGAACAAGTCAATGAGTGAAGTGAGATTTTTAATTGAATGGATCTTCGGTGATGTCGTAAAGTATTTTAAATTCTTGGACTTCAAGAGGAATTCAAAGTTATGCTCAAGCGCTGTGGGAAAAGTGTATATTTTATGTGCTCTTCTTCATAATTCTCGGGCATGTTTATGTGGTGCAATTACATCTAAGTTTTTCCAGTTCTTTCCCACAACTGTCCATGAGTACTTTCAAAAATTTCAAGCATGGTCAATAATAAATTAATTTTCCGAATAATTTTCAATCAGTCTTCAGTTTACTTTCAAATAAATTAATCTCCTTTAAACGATCATTACCATGTAAAAGCATTTTAAAAGTACTAAACTTTAAAATTATAAACAACTTTTAAAATTAAAAGATTATATCAAATGATCGCATAACTCATACAAATTATACAAACTGTTGATATTCTCTTCAGACAGCTGATATTCTCTTCCTGTTGTCTATCACATATACAGAAATACGCAAGGCATCTGAACCAGAAAGTCCAAGTTTCAAATAAATTTGCGGAACAATTTTATTTGTCAGCAAGTTTTTGTAACAAGAACATAAGCGCCTGGCTTTGCCGCTGCAGCAAAACCATGTTCATACGCTCTAGTTGTCGTAGCTGCTGTTGCTGCATTCTTGCGGTATTCGGTTGTTCCTCGAATCTTTCGTCATGTTTTTTTTCCTAGATTCAACTTGCCCTCCGCCTCTCTTACCTCCTTCTCCATTTGCAGCTGTTGTTTCTTTATTGCCGCCTCCTCCAAGTCTTGGCACCAAGACAAGTCAATGGTTTGAGGCAACTAAAGAAAGCCTTGCCTTTCGAGATATATTTGCACATAATAAATTCAGCCATGTAGTTTTTTGTTTTTCCCTTGATGCCGTTGAGTACGCATTTGTGTCTGAGGGTGGCCGTGGAGACCAATCGGTGCACGAGAGTGTCTGTCGCATGTGAATCACATGAACGGCCAAAGGTGAGCCTATCCTACCCAGTTCTCAGGATCTTCGCCCAGGTTTTTTTGATGAATACTTTCAGTTGTTTGTAAAAGGCTTTCTCTGTCCACCCACGGATCTCTTTCCAGTGTCAGCCTACAACAGAGGAGCTATTTTCGGAGAATGGGACTTGTGCAGTTTGTGCAATTGAACCATCTGCATTCAATTTAAGTTGAACCAAATGTATTATGCATTTTTTCCGGTTGAACCATTTGAGCTAGTTTGACCATTTAAACTACTTCAACCAAATAAGATAGATTGTGCAATTTGTGCAGTTTAAATGTTTTTGTAAGTTTGAATATTTAACCAGTTGGACCAATTAAGCTAGATTGTGCAGTTTGTGCAGTTGAAGCACTTAAGCTAGTTAGACCATTTGGACTACTTCAACCAAAAAAGATAGGTTGTGCAATTTGTGCAGTTTAACTGCCTACGCTAGTTTGACTATTCACCCAGTCGAGCCTTTTAAGATAGATTGTGCAATTGAACCTTTTAAGCTAGTTCTGGAGTTTGTCCAGTTGAACAGTTTAAGCTAGTTTGACCATTTGAACTACTTCAACAAATTCAGGTGGCTTGTGCAATTTTTGAAGTTAAATGTCCTCGCTAGTTTGACTATGTAACCAGTTAAATCATTTGAGACAACTTTAACAGTTTCTGCAGTTGAACTGGTTAAGCTAGTTATGAATTTTATACAGTTTAACTGTTTTCGCAAGTTTGACCATTTAAGCAGTTGGAGTTAAATTAAAGAAATTTCGAAAAGAAGTTCGAAAGAACTGCAGACGTTTACCAAACAGAGAGAGAAACACGACAGAAAACTCCGTCACTTGCTCAGTAAGGGGTCTCCTGCTAATTCAGGCTCATCTCTGAGAGATAAATGAGTCTTGAACCTTTCCTCCAAGGAGTTATCCGCGCTGGAACGGAGTGGTTTAGAGAAGGGTCTGAAGTTTGCTATTGCTCCTCGAAAAATACCGGCTGCCGATATTGTCGCCGCTGTTGAGGAGAGTATCTCTCAACTCAACGACGATCGTAGGTATTTGGTAAGAGCAGAAGTAATTAGCATACTCACACGTGCTAAACCTCCTCCCAAAAACATTTAAAAGGATGTTTTGAATGCACTTATAGCTCTCAAAAAGGATCCGGACAGGCTCGTAATTGAGGACAAGGGTAACTGTGTTGTGGTTATGGACAAACAGCAATATCACGACAAAGCTTTGTCTCTGCTTAACGACAAGAGTACGTATGCTGTCTTTAACTCTGATCCTACCAGTAAAACTCAAAGAAAGTTAAACAAAATGTTGCTTGATTTGAAAAAAGCTGGTATAATTAGTGACTCTACGTACAAAATGTTATACAGTAGTGACGGCTTATGTCCACGTTTTCATGGCTTATCTAAAATTCATAAACCGGGAATTCCTTTGAGACCCATTGTCTCTTTTGTTAATTCTCCGACTTATGCAATTTCTGGTTATCTTGCGAGAATTTTGTCGCCTGTTGTTGGGAATACTGATTGCTCTGTCAAAAATCCCTGCGAATTTGCGGATTTCATAAGAGATAAAACTCTTAACGCTTGTGAAGAATTAGTATCTTTAGACGTTGTTTCGCTCTTCACCAAAATCCCAGTTGATCTTGCCGTCAAGGTTGCGGAGGAATGACTCAGAGAAGATGCTTCCCTGGGACAAAGAACTTCCTTGCCTGTGGAGGATATTAGTCATCTGCTGTCTTTTTGCCTCAAAACCACGCAATTTACATATAACGGCGCCTACTATCAACAAGTTTTGGTACAGCGATGGGTTCGCCCGTCTCTGCTGTCATTGCTAACATGGTAATGGAAGACGTGGAACAAAAGGCCTTAGCCACTTCACCGGTTAAACCCTTTTTCTGGAAATGATATGTCGATGATGTTATTTCTGCGATATCTGGAAATGAAGCGGAGCGCCTCTTGTCGCATTTGAAATCAGTAGAGCCGTCGATCCCATTCACCCTTGAGCGTGAAAAAGATAGACATTTTCCCTTTCTTGATTTAAATGTGTTCAGAGTAATTTAGAGACAAGTCTTTACTGTAAACCTACCCACACCGACAAATACCTCGCTTTCGATTCTCACCACCCTGTTTGCCATAAAAAGTCTGTAGCCAAAACTTTACTTAGGAGGGCTGACCGTCTATCATCTTCACTCGATTCGAAGGCTGAGGAGAGGAAATATGTTTCCAATGTCCTAAAGGCAAATGGCCATACAAAAACTTTTCCCCGTAACTGCCAAAAATCAGTTACAAATAGTAACGCTCTTGATGCAAGGGAACCAGCGACTGGTTTTGCTTTTATTCCTTATATACAGGGTGTTACGGAACCCATCAAGAGAATTTTGAATAGCCACAACGTTAAAGTTGCTCAAAAACCTTTTCAGACTTTGGGGCATATTTTCGCCAAACCTAAGGATCCTGTCAGGAAAGAACAACGAACCGACGCCATTTATTCTATTCCTTGCAATGACTGTGTCAACGAATACATCGGACAGACCAAACGTCAGTTTAGTACACGGTTAAAAGAGCACCAAAAAGCGGTTTTCCTTTGCAAAAAGGAAAATTCAGCTTTATCGGAGCATACATGCCTAATTAACCATACAATTGGGTGGGATAATTCTAAAATTATCACCACTAATCGGCGTTACCACCAGCGCCTTTGTTTGGAGGCTTGGCATATTAACTCCGCTCACGCTCCTTAAAATCGTGACGGTGACGGTTTGCTACCTGACGCCTATTTACACATCGTTCGAAAAAAAAGGCCGCTAATTAGTGATCATATAATAGGACCTCTTGTTGCAGCGTTTAGATCACCCCTGATGAAGGCACTAGACAGGAGTGTCGAAACGTTGGGTCTATGAATTGTAACTTTTTCGGTTACATTCATTAAATCTGCAAACCAGAGTAGCATCAAACTATGTCCAGTTGGAACAAATAGGCTAGATTGTGCAGTTTGTGCAGTAGATTCTATTAAGCCAGTTATGCATTTTGTCCAGTTGAAGCACTTAAGGTAGTCAGACCATTTTAGATAGATTGTGCAATTTTTGAAGTTAAACTATCCTCGCCAGTTTGACTATGTAACCAGTTGAATCATTTGAGGTGACTTAAGCAGTTTCCGCAGTTGAACTGATTCAGCTAGTTATGAATTTTGGCTGGTTAAACCATTTCAGCTAGTTACGCATTTTGTCATTTTCGCTAGTTTGACCATTTTGAACCACTTCAGCCAATTAAGATACATTGTGCAATTTGTGCAGTTCACCTCGAATGTCAGACAATTCGCCCCCGGACAATTAGCCCCCAATTTCAATACAATTCACCCCCAATGTGAAAACACCCAAATTATTGTAGAAAATATAGCTTTTGTCACAAGGCAATCATTTCTTGAAAGAAAAAAAAGAAAACTCGACTACTCGAGTCAACCGAAACCAAAATAATTTACTGATCGTCAATCGCGTGAGCGTAAGATGGTGATACGTGTTCAGTTCTTCGGTTTTAGACGCGCGAGAACGCGTTCGCCCTTATTATACTTATAAATTCGACCGTAGATAGCTTTGTTTCATGTACGATGGGCACGAATGATTCGGTTGACTGACTCGGTGTTTTCACATTGGGGTGAATTGTCTAAAAATTGGGGGCGAATTGTTTGAGGGGCGAATTGTTCGAGGGGCGAATTATTCCGATACCGTTTACCTCTTTCTGCTGGTTTGACTATTTTAACTAGTTATACCGATTAAGCAAGATCGTGCATTTGGTGCAGCTGAACCATTTAAGCTAGTTATGCATTTCCTCCGGTTGAACCATTTGAGCTAGTTTGACCATTTGAACTGAGGAGGGCATTGGGGCCCATTAGAAACCTTAAAACCGTAGAAAAAATCATCCAAAACCGAAAAAAAAACTCGATCAAAATCGAAAACGGCATGCAAAACTGTCAAAATCGATACACTTTCACATCCCAGTTATTGAAACCCTGATCGTTTCGATACAGTGATGACAAGTGTAGCGTACAGAGTAAACTACACTAATTTCATGACAGGATCCATGAATACCATGCACTTGGCATTCGTATCTTCTAGTATCTGCTTAAATTAACAGCTGCGCTCTCGAGGACCTCGAGCGTGGTCTCTGCGGACTCAGCAGCCGGTAATGGAGCCTAATTAAAGTAAGGAAATTCGCACAAAAGCCTCCATAGGATTGCAATTTTGCAGTCGCAAAAAGCTATAACTCTGGAAAGTTTCATAAAAATCCCTGATCTAACATTTCCATTCGCGAACTAAGACCTGAAAGTTTGGAGATTCCATTGGAATGTTGAATCAATCAGTCGCGTATGGCCTGTAACTTGGTCATAAACTTCGAGGTGGCGTTGATAAAGAAACTTTGGAAATGATCCGTGCTTAGCCGTGCCCTACGTGCAGGCGCGTAGCCGTACCCTCCTTCTTTTTCCCCCCACTCAGGGAAGGGGAAGGTACGGCTACACGTAGGCTACCTAGGGATCCCTGCGATATTTCAATTGGTTTGTCACTCATTCCTCTCGATAAAATTTGCGTTTAGCGGCTATTCGAGATTAGTGGAGGCGCGTAGTTGCCGCTCAGATCGAAGAGAAACCGGAACCCAAATAGGTCTAAATGGAAAAACCGAAAACTACATCGGATATCAAAGCCGAAAACCAGTTAGTATTTTTTGCGAAAACCGAAAACCAAATGCTAAAAAAACGGGAAATCCGCAAACCGCAATGACCACCAAACCGAAAAAACGAAGTTTTTGGCACAAAAAAACGAAAAACCGATCTAAAACGTAGCCAAAACTGCAAAACCGAAAATCCTAAATCCCCCTTTGAACTACTTTAGCTAATTAAGATAGAATGTGAAATTTGTGCAATTTAACTGTTTTCGTTAGTTTGACTATTTTAGGTATTTGAATCTAGATTGTGCAGCTTGTGCAGTTGAACCATTTAAGCTAATTGTACATTTTTTTCAAGTTAAACCATTTAGCTAGTTTGACCATTTGAACTACTTTAAACAACTACGATATATTTTTCAATTGTTTTCAGTTTAACGGTCTTCGCTAGTTTGATTATTTAACCAGTTGAGCCAATTGCGCTGAACTGTAAACTCTTTTTATTACATGAACAACGATTCACTGAAATCAAATGTATAAATCCGCTGAATAAAGCAAAATAACCGAGTCACAAAGGATAAGAAAGCTAAACAAAAACGATCGAATAGTACAAGTTATTTGTGTCTTGTCCCGCTAATAACAAATGAAATCTTGTTCGACAATCTTAGCAGAAACTAAAACTTAAACTCAAAACAGACCATGTGCTCTCGAAAACTTGATATCTTACCGTGACTGCAAAATAACCAGCGGTACACTGAAATATCTACTTGACTGTCCGCATTCGAATCAGGTCGCAGAAATGACATAGCTACTTTCTGGGCAGAACCAATTCTGCTGGATCGTGCAGTTTGTGCAGGTTATGCAGTTGAACAATTTAAGCTAGTTTGATCATTTGTACTACTTCAACCAATTAGTTATTCAACCAGTTAAGTTAGTTTGGTTATTTTAACTACTTTAACCAATTATGGTAGATTGTGGAGTTTGTGAGGTTGAACCTTATAAGATGCTTATGCATTTTTTTCAGTTTAAGCATTTAAGCTGGTTTGAGCATTTTAACTATTTCAACCAGTTAAGCTGGATTGTGCAATTTGTCAGTTTAACTGTTTTCGCTAGTTTGACTATTTAACCAGGTAAACCAATTGAGCTAGTTTAACTGTTTTAACTACCTGAACCAATTCAGCTAGATTGTGCAGTTGAACAATTGAAGCTAGTTTGATCACTTGAACTACTTTAACTAAGTAAGATAGGTTGTGCAATTTGTACAGTTCAACTGTTTCGCTAGTTCGACTATTTAGATTGAACCAATGAACCAATGAACCATTGCGTGGATGTGATTAAATTTGGCTGCTTACCTGCTGTAAACTGTCCAGCTTTATAGACTTTGAGTTTTCTACCTGTTGAGATTTACCTGCGTCCCTATACAGTCATTTAAAGATAGGTGAACTTGTCAATTGCGTGGAGTTTTGTGCCAATTAAATGACTGTAAGGTTAGTTGTATTGCTTCTTAGAGCTGGTGGGTACGTACGGTGAATCAAAAGTTCTCACAGGTTGTGCCCAAAGAGTTCATGCCATGATGCATCTGTTCTTCACAGTTACTATCCAGTGCACAATCATTTGCAAAATTTAGATCACGGATAGTGGTAAGACTGACCTCAAGTGTTTCCTTAAGTCGTCTACGATTGTGAAGCATGTGATCAGTTCTATAACGAGTTTCTACGCCTGCATCACCTTGTGAGAATGCACCTGGGAGCATTGTAGAGAGCATCATTGAGAAGAAGGTTGGGCGAGAACACATACGTGTTTCAAGCCATTGTTGACCGGGAAATATTTCCACACCTCACTATTTTACAAGTTCCATCATTTCATTAAGAAACTTTCCAATCATGGTGATGATAATAGAGGTGCATCTAGCTTTGAGATGACTTTCTATAGATCATCACGACTGACCATGTCTAACGCCTTGGTCAGGTCAACAAAGGTGGTACAGAGGTCCTAGTGTTACTCCTGGATTTTCTCATAAAGTGACGAGCTGTAAATATCACATGTACTGTTCCGCTGCTGCTCGTTCGAAAGCTGCACGGACTCTCGGGCAGGAGACCTTGTTGCAAATGTTTGTGGAGTTTGTGAGGTTGAACCTTATAAGATGCTTATGCATTTTTTTCAGTTTAAGCATTTAAGCTGGTTTGAGCATTTTAACTATTTCAACCAGTTAAGCTGGATTGTGCAATTTGTCAGTTTAACTGTTTTCGCCGAGAGTCGATTAGGCATGACTCTAGCAAGGAATTTGCCTAAAACTGACGGCGGTAACGGTGTTCCATCGTGGTTGTCGTAGGACTGCCTGTTTCCTCGCTCTTACAATTGGACAATGATAGCCTTATTAAAGTCTTGAGGTAGAACATCTTTGCTCCAAAAGGATGAGAACGTTTCATACAGATTTTGGGTGACTATTTTATTACCTGCCTTTCATATTTACGCAGGAATGGCGTCTGCCCCTGGAGCCAGGTGTCTTGCATTTTTCTGAGATGCTCTTGAGTTTACTATTGCAGGCAATAAAGACTTTCATTTCGATACTGATGTTGCGCTGACTTGATAGGCAAGAAAGTGCTTACGTTTCTGCTCTAAGAGTTCCTTTATTTCTACACGTTGTCATCAAACCAATCCTGATTTTCCTAAGAGACCGAGCCTAACTGTTGCAGTGATGCAGTATAGAAACATCCACTCCTCTTTAAGACTTGTTTCACGGAAATGGAGATCAGGAAGCTTATCCATGAGGTCACTGATGACTTAAGTTCATTCATTTTCCCGAATAAAAGATTCCAGTTCACATGGAGGAATATTAATTTCATAATCATCTCAACTATATCTCTGTGGCTTAACGGATGATTCCTTTTTGGTGTTTTAATCTTCTGTAGTGTCACAGTAAGAACTGCAATAACTTAGGTGGCTTCGCCTCCTATATATAGGAGATGCGAATTTTTCACCCCTTGTGCGAATGTTTTAAAGGTGTTTCTGAGAAATTGCACCACAATATCTCACCTTTTATGCAAAATTTTGTGATTATTTTGAAAAACATTGCTGAGATGGTCGGGATTTTTGAAGAAAAAGATTTTTATATTTTTTAGAGTTAAAAGAGATTTATAGACATTTTTTTGAAGAATTTCTTGATAGATTTTGGGAATTATGTATCTTGGCCTATTTTGAGATATTAATAAAGTTGTGTTCAATATATGACATGATTTCAATTTGAGAGTTCTCTTACTTAATCTTGTGCACCGTGACTTATAGATGAGAACTAGATCCTTGTAACAAGGATTCCCATTCTTCCCATCCTTCACATCCTTTCCTTCCTCCCCGCGAGCCAGTGATGATAAACATTTTTTTTTTCGAGCTTTCTCTAACTAGTTATTTAGCGGTCCTACATTTTATTTGAATTTAAGAGCTCTTGCTGTTAGGTATCTAAATGAATATTCTGTGAGGTTTATTGAAAGCAATACTGAGAACTCCTGGAAAGAGTATTTTATCTAACAGGTATGTCACAGCAAGGTGCATGGCGTGATAATCTCACCAATCAAGTAATTGCAGACAGACGAATGATAGAACCAATATGACAGAATCTAATCACTGAACTACTGCATGATGCCACAGATGTTGGAATTTTTCAGTTCGCTCAAATAGATGAAACATAGCATTAATTTGCACTTAGCTCGATCATTAACCATTTACACCCTTAGGTTGGTACTCATATTCTCCACACTGATCTCTCTACATTTCCTGTGGTAAGGACAAGGAGAATTTGTTTAACAATCATGAGCTTTTCAAATTGGTTATTATTTTCATTTTTCTCATTACCTATACATTCAATTCAAGGTTGATACTGAAATGAGAAATTAGAAGGCAGTCACCCTTTAGAGTTAATGGGTTAATAACTCAGAATTGGACGTGAATGAAATCGCTCTTTTAAAAGAGAAAGAAGGGAAAAGAAAGCGTTTTTTATGACGGAATACAGGAAAAAAGAAAACTGCTGCAAACAAATGGAGATTTAATCATTATGATTACCCCTAGCTTAGTGCATGGTGAGCCAACATGGATATTCAATTTGTCCTTGATGTTTAAGCTAGCCTTGTGTTATGTATATTTGCTCTTGCACCTCAAAGGCACAAAAAAGCATCGATGAGATTTAGCGAGCTGCTTGTGATGAAACCACAAAATAAAATGATAGTTTTAAGCAATTATTCGGACGTATAGGTGACTCTGCATGCACACTTTTACTACCCACACCAGGTCTACATGTTGAGGTCCTTACGATTCAGAGCCCACGTATGCGTCCTAGAGTTTCAAAAAGTCTGATTACAGATTACTTGAGACTCGGAGGGTAACGGAAAGGCTCTGGGTGTGCTATAAGAGCCCTTACCCTGCCATCGCTGAGCATTTTAAGGTCGATTATTGTCGAACGCGGATGAAATTTTTGGGGTATATTTGTTGTGTTTAACAATTGGTGCCGCTTTACTAATAGCCTTTTGTAACAGAGACGTTATAGAGCCCTGTGACCTGCATCAGTTCTCTTTTTTTTCTTTTTTTCTTTTTTTCTTCCTTTTTTCTAAAACACTTTTTTGGAGCAAAACGGACATATCGTTAAAGATTCCAAACATGATAGGAAAATTAAAGAGAAAATGTTCCCAATAAGGCAAGTGCGAACGGTACCCTAAAACAAAGCACCACCCTAATGGTTACCTCGGCTGAAAACAGCCTACCATTCTCAAATAATGTTGCGCGCGTTGATTCTGTTATTTTTAACATAGAGAGCAAATTACTAAAGGTTGATTGGTTCAGATAGAGGGAATTTTCCCTTTATTTTGGTAATTGCCCTAGGGAAAATAACCCAAATTTGAAATATCTTCTGTTCTGATTGGCACCTAAGCAGGCAAGATGGGCTCAGGACTGCCCGCTGTGATTCCGCGCAAAAACAGTTGGCCTCCTTTCCCGTCTCTCGAAATAAACAAGTCTTGATTCGTAATAAAAGCGGCGACGTTTTTGCTCTATAATAAATCCGATATTGACCAAGCTTTTTCGGTCGAGGTGGCTGGATATTAGTGTCGTTCTCTTTTTTTCCGTTTTTATGGAAATAAAACACAAAAAAGAACTGACCCAATATCTAGCCATCTTGACCTCACGCTTGGTCAATGACGCTTATGAAAAAAATTGCGTTACTTCCGATTCTTTCCAAATTTGGAGTATAAGATGTTGAAAATTAAAGCCAATTTGGTAGTTAAATATGCACTACACAACTAATATTTCAAGTTCAATCGGCGTCGATGTGAGTCGATCTTATTTTATCCCCGTTGATGATGATTTAGAGGTTAAATTTATCATCGGAAACTCCGTAGATGGAATAGACAGTGGTGAAGGACGCAGACTAGATCGGGGGCTAGAAATTGAGATCGAGAAATCGAGAGCCATCGAACATATAATTTTGAAAAGCATAGTCGTTCACCTCCAGTAGTGCAGTTCCTGAGTTTTGATCAAAAATTTGTAACAAGTATCTGAGACCAAAGATCCCCATAATTTACGCCAATGGATGTGATTCAACTATGCGATTCAAACCATATGACGCGTAATACGATTGGTTGTTTTGTTGCCATAGAGAAATGCATATTTTGATTGTAAGCGATTGCTAGTTAGTTTGTACGTGTGTTTTGTTTTAGTCAACTTCAATTTAGAAGCGGAACAAACCATTGTCACATTGGTATTCTTAGCGAAGGAGAAGATGCTATAATTGAGGAGGTGAGTGAAACGTTTTTCATCGGGTATAAATTCAGAATAACAAGTACAATCTTTTAATGCTTATCCTCAAAAATAACTCGGAATTTTTAAGCCCTGTTCAAACGGTCACGATAGTTGATGATAGTTGAAATAATCATTTGCCGTCATGTTTGCGTTCAAACATCTCATGATAGTTAACAATTGTTCACCGAAGTGGAGGTAAATATCAGGTAATTTAGTGTCAACAACTGAGTTGAAAACGTAAATTGGCCACCGTAAAGAGTTAAAAAGCTGACGTTTCGAGCGTTATCCCATCGTCAGAGCGATTGACGAAGGACTAACGCTCGAAACGTCAGCTTTTTTTACTCTTTACGGTCGCCAATTACGTTTTCAACTCAGTTGTTATCTCTAAATTACCTGCTATACTCTCCCACCGACGCATACAATGGGATTTTACTGCCGGCTGATACCTAGTATCTTAGTGTGTGAAATTGTAAGCAAAATATCAGCCAAGAAGAGTGCTTATCGCCACAGTTTTAGAGAACATTAATGTAGAACGACTCTTCTAAAGAGTTGCTTGATCACCACAAATGAAGCAGGAAGGAGTGGATATGAAGTCAAGAAGTTGCAAGCAGAAGACAGAAGCCTTTAACCCTTTAACTCCCAGATCAAATTTGTCATTCTCCTCACTGTCAACCATACAATTCTTATAATGTTAGTTCAGATAATTTAGTATTGGATCAACAAATTATTCCCTAATTTATATTTTTCGCTATTCTCATCACTTATCTGGTTGATATTGCATTGATATTGTAAGGAGAAATTCTCTCTTGGTCACTCATGGGAGTTAAAGGGTTAAGGAGATGTTGAAAATGAACTTTGAGACAACCTATAAAATTTTGACAACTATTTTACCCCTCTTATGATTTTCCATTTCAGTTTGAGCCTATTTTTGGCAAGACCACAGACTGAAAAACTAGTTGATTATAGTTTGAATTCAAATGTGCACCATAGTTAGTTACTATCATTGTCTATCTGTACCATTTCTATAGGGCTTTACAGTAAATCAGTGTATTTGTGTTGAACTTGATATATTGACTTCATTTGAAATACATTTTTGTTTCAATGTGTTGGTGTTGACCCCCAAATTTCTTCTGCTTCTGCTGCCCCCAGTTCTGTTTTGCCAGCAGTTAGTAGTCTCATATTTTCAAAGAGCATCAGGTTTATTTTTCTGATGAGAGTGCTATATTCAGGCCTGAAATTATACTTTGGTTCATTTCCCAAGGGACATTATGAGACAGTTTTGTGAATTCCCTGGGAATGATCTATCATCTGTGAATACTAAGCCCACTGCTCCTCATATTTCCTAACCAAACCCAAAGTGAGTTTAGGAGTATTTCAGCTTTCTCTGGGAATAACATATGCTTTGCGGTGTATCATAAAATGAAAAGGGGATATTTAAGTTTGGTTTTGCCATAGTGTCTGGAAGTGCATGCTAGAAATGATGGAAATTGCTTTGCATTGTGTCATACCGAAGAGTGTCATAGCTTATTGTTTTGCAAACCATATTTCCCATTGCTTGATTTTAATCACTGTCAATGGGTTTAGGTGTTTTGTTACTCAAAGGAAATACCAAAGAAGAGACAAAAAAACAAAATAATAGAAGATGCAAAAAAAGAAAAAAAAAGAAGAAGTGAAGAATGTCATAAAAGCCACTTTGCAGCATTCATTTTAACTTTGTCAGTCATGAGTTATGATAGTTGTGTTTTGATGCTAGTTTTGCCAAAGAGACCTCCTATTGATTAGCAAGGATAGTGGAGGGCATATTTATTTACTTAGTAACACTTCAAACCTGCCCCCATGCAGACACACCCCCATTTTTTCCAAAAATATTTCTTCCCAGTAAGGGTTTGACTGACATTGGAAAACATGAAAATTTTGTGAAAAGATTTAGAATTTACTTTTCTCCTTTCAAATTTTCAGGAATATGGCTGACATCTGGAGGATCAATTTTGTATTACTTCATAATAATTATTCATAATAATTACTAACATTTTGATGAAAAATCTTTTTTTCCTCAAATATGATAACAAATTTATGCTAATTTTTCTGAAATTCTTATTTTTAATACACTTTAATGTAAGATAATGTAGGGCCTTATTGCTATAAATACATGTTGAGGTAAAAAAATGAAAACACAGTGTGGTCAGTTTCATGCATTTTTGGGGGCCATAGATGAGTTAAAGTTTGCAAGATCAGTACTAATATATATGACCAAAATGTAAATGAGTGAGCCATTGTTTTATATATGTTAGTGCATCTAGTTCAATCTGTTTCCTAAGGACTGTGAAAGGTGTTCACTGTAGTTTAGGGTAAAACTTTGGAGTCAAGGGAAAGATCATTTTCCTTGATGAAAATTGAATTAGTTGGTAGTGACAAAACTAATCAGTGATCGGTACAGCATTCTGTGCCACACAGCTTTGGTCCCATAACATCTACTTTGTCAGTTTTTCTAAGTTATTGCATAATCTGGTGACTGACATAATATGATATGTCTCTGTGTAGAACAGCCCACACATTACTCAAAGTTCTTTTAATAGACAGACATCTTCTGATTGGACACGGCACTACTGGATGTACTGAAAGAATGATACATAAGGGAACTTATAAGAAACAATAAGCACATTTAGAGGTGCTCAAAAAAGCCATAAAGTTACATACATTGTTAAGTTCTATCAAAAAGGCACTAGATAGAGCTGTTTAGAGGATTCCATGCACAATCAAAATCCTTTGGGAAGATAACTCTTCTACCAAAAGGAACTAGTAGTAATAATAATGATAATAATAATGAGACTTTGATGATGTTCTTTTTGGGTCTGAGAGTCTGTGTCACCTCAATATAAAAACCTGATCAAAGAAAATGGGTGGTGCTTGTGTTCTTTAGAGGGTATTTCTTTGAAATAAGACCTTCATAATGAGGACTCCCGAAGAGTCCCTTTACTTTGGTTCGGAGAACACACACCTTAATTCCTCTCAAAAAGGGAGAAAAAAAAAGACTGGAAAAATTTTTTTTAGCCATAAAAGCACCTTAGGAGGTGCTCTAAAAAAAGTCATAAAGATAGTTACATTAAGAATTAATGTAAAGAATACAGTTTTTAACAAAGTACACTCTGCAATTCTTAGTATCACTCAGGCACTGTGTGTATCTGAATACACACAGTGTGTGTACTTTATGAAGAATTTGAGTGTGTAAACCATTAAAAGATTATTTTTTCGTTAATCTAAGTATCTTAATGGTTTTCTTGGGCACTTCTTCATGTGCCTCAGGACACAAAAAAAAAAACTTTTTCCAGGTTCTGTGTTTTTACCTTCTTGTGAGGACTCAAGATGTGTGTTATACAAACCGACTTATGAGGACCATGCAAAAGTCCTCACTATGATGGTCTTTTCTCTTATTACAACGTATTTATGAGGACTTTTTTGTGGGGACTTGAAAATGTCCCCACAATTTGAACAGACCCCACTTTGCTGGTGTGTATACATATGAATGTCCCCATAGGTGTGCAAAGGTGCACGCACACACACACACACACACTCAACCAAAAGAAACAAACAACAATAACGATAGAAAAAAATCATTACGAACACGCCTTTTATAATCCTAAGGTCTAAATGCTTCAGGAAATACAGTTTTAGATTTGTTATTATTCAAACTTACACAGGGTTTGTACAAGTTCGAGTTCTGAACGTGACTCCGCCGTTACATGGCCGTGAACATGGTGAGTCGTAACGAGACCACGCGCTCCAACCTCCATGAATCCTTGGTTTGCCATTGTCTACACATTTCCCGCTTATGCACCACTGCAATTGTAACAGAAAATATTTTTTAAGACTGGTAAAGTGACATAATTATTACAGATTTAGAGGGTTTGTTTTTTCTGCGGTAACTGAGGTGCAAGAAGTTTAATCTGGTCTGAACTGTACGCTCGATTTAAAAATCGAATAAACACGCATTAAAATGGTCGAACACGTGGTCCAATTTCCGGTTTTATAACAATATCTAATTTTAAAATGTTGCAATTTAATTGCTGAAATTTTTGTCATTGAAAATTTCTTATTCAACCAGTCACAAAAAAATGAAAAGAGTACGATCTGAGATTGAATTGTACTGCTGAGAGCAATTCAGATTGTAGGAGCCCCAGTAACCCAGAGTTACTGTTTCAGTAACCCAGTTTGTCGCCTCTATGACATAATTCAGAGCGGAGTTTGTCAGAGATAAAGATAAACTTATTCTTAGCTCTTAATTTGTGATAAAGTCGCTGATTCTCATGAAAACCATTAAAAAAATTCGTGAGAAACCAATCAAAGCGCAGGAAACTGAATGAAACATTGGTCAGAAGAGCAAAGACAAATTAATTTCCCGCTGAATGAACGTAATGGCACCGAGAACCCGAGCAGAAATTGTTGAGAAAACTTACGTAAAATAGCGATGTGTAAGATCAAACTAGTTAGAGGGCACTAACTATAAAAGTGCTTTTGAAGAATACTTCAATTTGGAAGGGAAATGTCGCTATGAACAATGAAGCAGCCGGCGACAGAAGCTGGAGAGACGCTAAGGCGCAGAGAGCTTGTTGGCAAGGCATGGTGTGTTTTCGTGGCAGTATTCATGGAAGTTTCGCTCGCGGCAGAAGAAAATGGCCATAATAAACGCTTCCGGACGCTCATAAGATTATCGCAGGATAACTACCCTTGTTCTTACCTTGCGTTCTGCACAGGGTGCCCCATCAGCTATCGGTGCAAGTCGACTCAATTGCGTTCCACTTTTAGGATTAAAGCAATATAACTTATCGCATACTCCCTTAAAAAAAATTTTAAAGTAGAAATTATTTTGAAACAAGGGGCGATGAGTTTAAATCGAGGGAAATGTTAATCTGTTTAGGAAAAGGTCTGATGGCCTGACATCTTCACTGCATATTACGCAAGGGCTCTACTTAACTTGAGACACGTTGGCCCCGAGGACCAGTATTCTCAAAGTTTCCATCTCTTCTTAGGTGCTTAACTAATTTCACTATGGTAGAAAATTGGCTGATTTGTGTGAAACGAATGACTGATTTTCCAAATCCGCCATCCAAGATTTTTAATGTAGCAGAACAATAAATAACAATCTCAAATCCAAGAACAACTTGCTTCCCATTGGTTCAAAGATAAAGCTGCGTGAAGTAAACCATGGCTTGCTGCGCGCCGAACCTATTCATTGTGGTACTTCCTTTCTCAGTCATAGCTCACCTTTTGATGAGGTGACAATATGTAATCAGCGCCGTACTGCATGACACACTGAGCGTCCCCATCGAAGATTTCCCCGGGAAGTTTGCCGTGATACTCAGGTTTAAGGGTTGGAAGATCGCCGTGGGGTGTGTTATCTAAACACCAAGACTTGCTGCCTCTGTCAATACAGTAAGAACAAAGTGGTAAGATATTACCCTTGCAGATGTTAGCAGGCAGTTCACAGATGCCACACTTCTCACTATTTGGATCTGTAAAAGTAAACAAAGCCCACCTACCACATAATGTTTCCTAGCTTATCGTAAATGATCTTAAATCGGATAACCTCGTTAGTGAAATGAAACAAGTATTAATAGGGGTCCTGTCAGTTCATTAGAACGTTGACATTACAAAAGGTATAATTATATGGTATAATAACGTAAAATGCTATTTAAAATCAATCTAAAAAATATTACTATGGTACGTGTAAAAAGGCACAAAAGTCATAAGTCGTGATCATTTTCCAGATTATATTGGAAAATAAATTGCGAGTAGCATTTGCTGGAGTATGTAGATCATTTTAATCAAGATACGATTGGGAATATTCAGTTGTTTCATAAGTTTACAAAACGCTAACCGATTTTTCACAAGAGGGCACTCACCCCAAGAATTCCTGAAGGACCCTCCGGGAACAATTCGACCAGGTTGCTGCATAGATACCACTCGGTAAAACAGCGTCCATAATGTATTGATGCTGCGGACACCCTACATCGCCATCATGATCAAGGTAAAGGCTGCGGCAACAGAGAAAGGTAAGCCTTTAATTCTCATGTGATGGTAATGTACAAGCATTTCTTATCTCATTCGTACCTTATTACGTACAAGAGCTAGCAATGACGATTAATTATTGAGAACAAAACCGAAAAAAAAAACAAACAAGCAAACATGTAGCAACAAAACTGTCGATACATCTGCTAATTGTGCTACCTTAACTTTCAAGTCACGACACACGAAACTTCCGACAAATCTCGTCGTGTTATTGTTAAAAGATTCTAATTTAAAGAAAAAAATTAGATCCAGGTGGTTCGTTTTCCCGAGCCAATGTGCGACAAAGGAATCTGATATAAGAGAGCGTACAATACAAAGACAAATACTGACATCGGGCATAATGCAAAAATGCAAACAACGCAACGTCGTCACTTACTTGTGACCTATCTCGTGTGCGACGTGAAGTGCAGTTTGAAGACCAACATCAGCGTTGACGTTACCATTCCCAGCGCCTGCCTTGGAACAGATCTGGTTAGCTATGGCGAGACCTAAAAATTTACATATATGGATATATTCAATGACCCTTTATTCTTCTTATCTTCCTTGGAACTTTTATCACCCAAAAACATATGAAAATTTCTAAAACGACGCGTTTCATCTAGCTTGGCATCTTTCAGCCAATTACACAAGTTAGCAAAGAGCATCTTACCTCCGCTTTTTATTTCACTGCAAAAAGGGAAAAAAGTGGTAAGATGGTCAATTAAAAAAATTTCATCACAAGTCTAGGGAGACAGTTGCTTAGTTGCACGAAACAATATAATTTTCTACCAGAATTAGACGCTCCGTGATAGAGTCCTTTTGGTGACGAAAAGAAAACTGTTTAAACAGTTTGTCTGTACTCTGTTTGTCTGTCTGATCCTCTGTGCCAAAAGGAGTTAATTATAGAGGATTTCTTACAATGTAGGCTGGTATCTGTCTCTCTCTAAGCAAACTTTCCCCCGCGCCTCTTTGAAACGTTTACGTAATGCCTCGTAAAACAAGCATAAGTCTTTTTCACCTTCAAGGGGATACGATGCTGTTTGTTTCTTTTCCGATGAATCTGACACCCCAAAAGAGACTTAAAATACCGCTATCAAGGTTTTTCCCATGCAACGTCCTGTCTATACATCATTCAGGAAAAAGTGAGGCGATGGGATTGGACGAATCCATCAGCTCGAGGGTGCTTTTCATCTTTTGTTTACTTACGTGAAAAAGAACAGCAACTAGAAAAGGGACCATGATTCAGATCTTGAGAGTTACAGTTCCGGATGTAACATCAATATTTTCGTTCAAAATCAAGCTGGAAGAGCATGTTTGTTCGGCTCACTTTGTTTGATTTCTGACCAAGTATTATTTGCTCGGTTATCCACCCAATGCTGTGCGCGACAAACATGACGTCGAATGAAAATTATGTTGATATTCATCCGAGAATCTAAAGTTAATACGTACTTTGACACATAACTGAACACGTCATAGTGATCCGGGTCGTTAATACTTTTCAGTGTTGAAGGTCCCGCCCATTTCAACATCTGAGTCAGCTTTTTGCTATTGCTGTCGATCTTAGAGAAATTAGCCTATACAGCAAAAAAGAAACAAAGTTTTTAGCCGCAATTAAACTTGTTTCAATTGGTTTTCCTATCTTTCAAAAATCCTGACTCGATGTAGCACGATAGGACTTCTCAGAAACAAGAGTTCAAAAGTGCAAGACTTTTATTTTTTTTTTTTTTTCTTTCGCTAACACTTTTGCCAGAACCCCTCTTCCCGGCTCACGTCTGAAGCTTTTTAAACAAGAAACAATATGCCTTGGTCTCCAACGTTTACACACGCACTCTTGGCTCCAATCACGTGCATTTGCTCCGACCTTTCACTTTTATCATCTTTTTTATTATCAATGGCTTCTTGTTCGTTTTCACCAGACCAATCTAAACTACAGTATCTTTAGCAAACTTGGTTCTTAATAGTATTTCTTACCAGCTTTACTGTTGACTCCATAACAACAATCTTGGTAACCACGTAATAGACCTTGATTTTTCCTATACTGGGATCTTGATACATACCAGCAACCTATCAGATGAAAAAATGTAATTCTGATAAAGATGGAATTTCCTTTTAAAAGGTGTAAGACGAGTTAATAACCACCCTCTCGTTGAAGGAAACTCTTACTGAAGTGAATCTCTGCATATCAAAGAGGATAACTGATGAAAAATGAACCTTCGGGCATCTCCAAAACTGCTGATACGGCGAATGTTTGTCTGGCTTCCAGCCATTTTAGAGCTCGTTGATTAAGACAAAATCAATATTGTTTCGTCGTAAACATGCCCAAGCAAACATACCATGTTGGCAATAGCGAGGAGTACTGTGGCAAATTTATCTGTTCCATACTTCTGTTCGTAGCTTTTAGGAACAATTAACGCTCCTTCAAGAAATTTATAGCCATTTTTGTTTACTTCACGAGTCTTCCTATAAAGTGTAGATCTCTTGATACGATCTTTTCCTGAAAAATAAGAAAAATAGAAGTAAAGAAATAAAGAAAAGGTCTCAGTACTGATGAAAAATCTAGTGGTCTGTGGGAAAAAGCCAAATAAGTACATCTAAACACAATGCGATATACTGACAACAATCGTTTACCGAAAGCAGGTTTAATGTCGTCGAAATCACATAAAGATTGTCAGTGGAAGTGCCAAGAGAAAAAAATTAAAAAGTAAACTGAATTTATGATAGATTGATCCTCGCGTCTTGTGCCCAAGTCGAGTTAAAATTGGCAGTGCTTATCATCGTGGAGGAAGGCCGAAAACAAGAGAACCATAAGGGGGGAACCAACCAATGACTCCTGCGCCATTACTGTGGCATCACTAATTCCAGTATTTGCTCGTTTTACAAAACGAACGAACCTGTTGACTGCATTTCACAGGAAACCGCTTCTTGTGTTGGAATTCTGTAAATCAAGTGCGGTGTAGAGTATGCATTTCTCCTCACTCTCCTGGCCAAGTGTGTCGAGAGCGGCTGTATAAATAGTGTTTCTCGAGAAGTCCTGATCATACCCATCTAATGATAAAAAATTAACATAATGTAAGTACCAGCAAGAAATTTGTATGCGTAATGAGATGATTTTGAGTGCAATTCGGTGTTAATAGGCACGAGTAAATTTTTCGAAGAGAACAAAATTGTACGAGTCCATATGGTGAGTACAATTTGTAGTCTTTAAAAAATTTACAAGTGTTTATTACACCAAATTGCAGGAGAAATCATGTTTTTGTTGTTAATAATTTACCTGAAAAAAAAAACATACGAGAAAGGCAAGACAGACGAAATTTTGAAATTGCACGCGTGCTATTTGTAATTTGCACTCGAGTTACATGAGAATGCACTAATTTTCCGCCAGCTAGAAGCGCGTCATTTTTCATGCACATCATTAACACGGTAGTAAACACAGGCGTGTCTGAGCGAGAGCACCATGTTAAAAAACTTCAAAGAAGTTAAACTTACCATCATCCTTTTTCTATCGCTTGGCAAAAACGTTTAGAGAAAAAGTCAAGATACCATCAAGCGTAACAAAACTCTTACCAAGCTTGTGTCACCTCGCAAGGCCACCAAGGAATCTGGATCGGACAAAACTTGTCCCAAGTAGTATTTGTTTTTAGGCGCAGATTGAGTCGTTACCATACCCTTTCCGTGATGTCTCTCAATAACTAAGTTCGGTGCCATGAGGTTACGATTTCGCCTCAATCGCAGCCGTAATTTGGAACCAAATGCATGCAGGTCGTAATGTAAAATATCTGAATGACCCACATCTCCCCTGATGAGAAAGGGAGACATAGTCCTTCCATTAACGTCTGTATGATGTGGTGAGCTGATATCGTATTCGGGTACTGTGAAAAGATGGCAAAAACTTACGTTCTTAGAGGTCTAGGCCTTTCGGGGCTTACAGTGTCAGTTGAAATGTGGAACAAGCGTTGCCTTAACAGGTAGTACGTTAGACTCCAGGTCGAAATGTCCGTGTTCAAAACTCGGCTGGCATTAGTTGATTGCGTTTTTGGGAAAGGCGCTTTATTTCTCTCTCCACCGTCGGGGGCGCTGTCAGTTACGATGTCTATGAGCAACACCTTAAATGGGCTAACGATCGCACTAACCTTCTTTTCACTGCTCAAAATATCGCAAAAACAGCTTAAAATTATCAAAAATGCGAAAAGGAACTTTTTTGTCTTACTTTTTGTATGATCCTTGACACCAAAGTAATGCTCTATTTCTCTCTTGGTCATGTGATGGTGGAGATTCTAAGGAAAGAATCAAGGAAGATAAATACACAAACGCTTCAAATCAATCATAAGATGCTCCCCCTTTGTGCAACTCGAATAAATTGATGTCTTGCAAAATTTTTTTAATTTCAATGGAATTGAGTTGCACTATATTTGTGACAGTCTCAGTCACTCATCACTATCATATCTTCATCGCACAACCAAAATGAAATCAATTTCCGTAACGCATCATATCTTACATACAAAACATAAGCAACATCAAGTAATCATTGAAAAATACGAACCCCTCGCAAATTTGGACAAGTAGTTTGGAAATCTTTTTTTCCAACCAAGGTATGAACATTGAAATTCAACTACCATTGAAACATTTTTCCGAGGAAAAATATGACTTACTTGTTCAGATTTCCTTGCTAGGATAGCGTCTAAGTAAGAAAGATGAGTAGACAAAATCAAGTAAATCAACCATTTTACAAAAAAGCACACTCTACACTGAAAGCAAAGTAAAGGCGTTGAATGCAGGGCATAAAGTATCGTTGCTTTTTCAATAAAATACGAGGTGCATTTAAAGAAGCTTCCGTAGAAGTGTCTTACCAATGGATAGAAGCAACGCAAAAACCAGGAAAAGCCAATTGGACGATGGACATCGCATTCTGTACATTCTAAGAAGGCAAATAGAAAGGATAGAAAATACAAGTGAGCTAAACTCACGTACTTTTAAATACACAGGCAACTTGTACTGTGTACAAGTAAATTACCCATTACTAGCTCGTGAGATGTGTCAATGATGACCGAACGGAAATGTCAAATATCAGAATGTGTGTAACTTGCAATAAACTTCTAAGGAAAAGGAAATGCTAAAATGCTGCCTACTTTGAATTGGATTTGTTAATCTTGTCAACTGTCGTGTTGCGTCACTAAAGCTATCATGAGCAAAACTTAAAAATAGTCGATTGTATTTTAGATCCTTTTCACCACGCATTTTCTAGTTTTTTCTTTTTTAACTCAGTACTTTTCTCTCTAAGTTAAAATTGATGATGAAATATCAGAAAAATGCTCCAGCTGAGACTTGCAAATTCCCACAACATACAATGAAAGCCATAATTAAATTTCCTTCTATTGTTTCCGTGTTCAATGAAGTGCGAATTTTTTGTTTCATCGCATTTATTCGGGATACATTTGCTTTATTTAACTTACAATAGTACCTTTTGGAAGGTTCAATGAAAATAAAACTGCAAAAGGTTCAACGGTTCCTCCCGTAACTTAACACCGAGTCACACAACGCGTGACACGTTCATGAATTCATAGTTGGCTTTTTCTCGAGACGTGAGCTTGGGCCGCCTGTGCTAAAAATGACGATTTTAACGGAATTTTGTTATTTGCATTTTTCTCTGAAATAAAAAGATATTTTGCCAAAAAAAGTATCTAGTGGTTTTAGTTATAGTCTAGCCTATCTAATATTAAAATAAGAAAGAAATCGATTTTTTCACCCTTGCCGTGAAATTTAGAATTTGTCTGATTTTTACAGACAAGCGCTCTTAAACGCGAATGTTTAGGTTCAAAAGTATAACGGTGGCTTGATACAAGACGATAACCAGACGTAGCCTGGCGCGGTGAGAATTCAAAAGGAGGCCGAGTTATATTTTCTGTGCGGTAATTTCTCTTTGTATTGTTGTCCGTGTCTGAAGAAATGTCAGGTCAAGATGTCTATCAAAACTTGACGGTCAGCAGCGCGGTTTGTCTAAGGTTGGCTTTAATCCTGACCAAGCAATGAGCAATGTTATGCAATTTTTGTCGTATTTCGTTCAATTTGCAACAAGGAACTCGAGTGAAAACCTTTTGCTTACTGTTTAAATTTTCTAGAGAAATCATAGCAAAGGGCCTGCCGCAAGAGCATGCCACAAAATGATGATACAAGATGATAACCCTGATCTGATTAATAAGAATACATATATATTTATTTGCCGGCTGGGAGGTCCGTATGGTGAAAAACTGTGACCGAGGTCTTGAAAATGCTGAGGTCAAGGCCGAGGTCACAGTTTTTCACCATACGGACCGACCCTTAGCCGGTAAATAACATATTTATTTCTTTTAAACTTGACGAAATTCATTCCGAAAGAACCTGAATGATTTAGGGCTATAAATACGGCAAGATCTTCCATAAACTGACAGCTTTTGAGCCGGTAAATGGTAGTTAAAATAGAGGTGACGCAAATTAAAGGGAACATTTTCATTTGCGTAATGATTAATGTGATTTAAAAGGCTTCCAAATAAACTTTGAAACGTTATTATACAAATATCTGTCACAATCTGACACCTCTCATTTAGAGAGCGCGTAAGAAAAGAAAAAAGCGCGTGTAAATTTTTAAAAAACAACGAAACTAGATTGGCAAGGACTATCACCACAACTTTTTCTTCAAAATAGTCAATGATCTTACGGAAAGTATTATTTACTCTCATCGACGATTAATCTATGTACGAAGATTTACCTTTTTTCATTAAGTAATCGGCGAGGAAAGTAATTGTAAGTAAATTCAAATTTTTTGTTCTGAAGTTGTGAGAATTGCTCGTTTGTTTGCCGCAATGGCGTGTGAAAATCTGGTCTTTCCTCCGCAGAAACTAAATTCGGATGATATACTCCAACGAGACACAAGGGGATTTCATGCGACCTTTTCTCATTTAATTCTTTAAGTTTCTGGTGTGCAATTTACGATACAAATGTCCAAATTGGACGGACTTGAAAAGACTCACCGAGAGCGTATATTTGTTGCAGAACTGAAATTAAATCTTCGCTCGCCTTTTCACTACGACCAAATTGTTTGAGAAAATTCAGATGTTAAAATGAATGAAAGTTCCATCGATTAGTTCAACTGTAGCCAAATATCTTACGTTTTAACTCTCTAGGTCCTTTTTGTGAACGATTAAAATTAATTGCAGACGGTTTTTAGGCCGCCTGTCAACCGACGTAATGACATTATTGTTTATACAAAAAATTCACTCTGAAACGAAAATTTCTCAGTCGACCAAAGTGACTTGAGAGAGAGAGAGAGAGAGAGAGAGAGAGAGAGAGAGAGAGAGAGAGAGAGAGAGAGAGAGAGAGAGAAGAGAGGATTAATAAGTTATTTATCGGCTTGAGGTAGTGACCGACTTCTTTGCTAAAAAATATTGCCCAGCCGGTAAAACGAGATGTATTTATGAAAAATAGCAACGAATGAAGGGATGTACTCGGCGACTCACGAAAGCGTTACCGTTGCCCGTGGACAGAGATAGGAAAATACAGACCGGGTAAAGAACCAATCAGATTGCAGGATTCATTACCGTGCCCTCTGAAAAAAAAAATAATAACAACACATTTTTCAGCAAACTTACGATCAGTAAAATTGTTGAATAAGCCTGCTCACTCGAAGGAAACAGAAGCCGCTAAATTCAAGTAAATTTTTAACTTGGTCAGAGTCACTAACAGGTTACTTTAAGTCTTTCGAAAGACAAGCTGATATTGCTGTGCAACCGCTGTTCCACTTTGCATTCCGGATCAATTTTAGCAACAAAATATTCGGTCGAGGTACCCGAAAAGAAGCAAATTTAACTACCTGACATGACTACGAAGATCACAACTAGCTCGTGCGAAATGACCTTGATACAACTTTAACTGAGGGTAATTTTAACTTCATTGAGTAATTCGAACTTACTATCTAAGTTCATGACAAACCACCATAGTAGCAAGAGCTTTAGCGATGCACTTGTAATATCAAGAACGATGTTTTACCTCTTTCCCACAAACACATTTCGTGGAGACTTTGAGTCAAAGTAATATTCACAGTATATCTTAAGTAGATAATATTTAGAACAACATTGAAATGCCACTATTCACTGGTATTAAAGCTTGACTCGTAATACATTTATAAAAATAGTTTTGGTGAAAGATTAGTATGGGCTCAAATCTCCTACCTTTCTGACATTGCAATGAATTCAGACATTCTCATTTTCGCGCCCGAAGAATTTTAAATGCCAGCGTTTTCCACGTTATTTGGAAGATGATTGACCTGAACAGCGCTGGCGTCAAACTGAAATACTTCTCGCACTAATTAAAGGAAACACTTCTCTTTCGGGGCATATTTTGCTGTTCTTTTCCTCGGATTCTTTGCAGTGAAAGCTTTTGATCTTAAAAAAAAAAATCCTGTTTTCAGACAGAACTAAAATTAACAGAAGACAATTTATTTTAATTTTCCAATACTATCTTCCAAAATAGAAATATAATAGAAGATTTAACCGCTACGACTCACAAGTTCTACTAAGGAACATGCAAAAGCCATAACATCGATGATATCAGTAGAAAACTCACAACTTGACAAATAGGAAAATAATTTCATTTCTTATCCTTTAGCTTGTTAATATGAATGAAAATCTCAAGTTACTCTCAGCGGGCTTTCGAATATAACGTGCAGAATTGTGGTATGAAATCTTTTCACTGATGCGGCAGCCATTTTGAATTAATCATGGTCTGAACAGCTGTAGCTAAAAGGTTTCGATGCACAGGAATCAAAGTGGCAAGGGCGAGAGGGGAAAGAATACTCAAGGGTGAGCGTATACATCAAAGGAAAATTTACATAGTAAATGAAATGAAAAAGATCAAAGTTTTACTTTGGAATTTGCACGGGATGGGTTTTTGTACTCTGTTTTCCAGGTTGAATCGAAATTTGAAGTGATGGTTTTTGTGAAGGCAGGGAAACCCTCGAAACAATGCAGAGAACAACCAACAAATTCAACACACTCGCAGAAGAAAGAAGAAAGTACCGGACTGGCATATCGTGCAAAAAGCGCGCGCGCGCTGAGACATTTAACGTTAATCAGTCGTAAGCAAGTTACGCGTACGATTTCTCGCGTGTGTGTTGTCGCAGTTCTAGTCGCAGTTCTAGTCGCAGTTCTAGTCGCAGTTTTAGTCGCATTTTGTCGCATCTGGGAGATTTTCGTTATCGCTTGTGTTTTTCAGTTTAGTCGCATTTAGGAGATTTTCGTTATCGCTACCAAACAAACGGTTTAGAGAATCGAATCCAGGCCAAAGCGGAGGAAAACGAGCGCTTCCACCGTGAGCCATCTTTGTTTCAAAGTTGGCTTATGCCGTCTAGTGACTTTCTTTGCTGCAAAGTCTTCCTTAGGATATTGCAGGGAACTTAACGTGCCTTAACGGAGACAAAAAAAAACCACTGTGGCGAAATTTTTATCCATACAAGTCTCGAACTGTTCGGCTTAAAGGCTATAAAAAGTCAATAAGATTCTTTATGTGAAGGATAAAGTGTGGACAATATGTAGGTAAATTATGAATTTCAGCCAAGGCGTTGGGCAAGAATTGACATCGCGTTGGGAATCGCAAGGGTATGCCAAGATTCCAGCACCCTTCCATTTACAAGAACTATAATTGTCAACCATGTTGAAGTCCTAAATGTAATAACTGTCCTAAATGTAATAACATTTGGTCCTAAATGTAATAAAGTCCTAAATGTAATAACATTTAGTCCTAAATGTAATAAGCCTCTAATGCAATAGTTTAACTCCTGCAGTGCATTGTTGTTATGGCGGACATCCACATTGATATGTTAGTGACAGCTGTTGCTCCAAAAAAACCGCTGACCAGTATACATGTCACATTATGGGCCCGCTGATATCAATCAGTGTCTTTTTACTTGCTAGACATAAGAAATATCAGCAGTCGAAGTATGGTCCTTATTTAACAAATAGAGAAGCCTTGACTGTGCTCTGTTCTGTTATAAAGCACGCAGGAAGCGGCTAGAGCACTCAAGAAGTGTAGGGAGAAACACGAGACACGTCACACGCAATACCGAGAATGTACGAACACCTAAGAAGTTCTTACCATCGAAACATTTTAATAAGGAATCTTCCTCTCCCGTTCTTCGCTCTTTTGTTTATCGCCATAGTGTTCTGATCAGACAAACTAAGTTGCTAATTATTGCTCAAGGTTATGACATAACTACATGTCGCAGGCCTAACAAAGGCAGCAGTATTTTTATTTCCAGTATCTAAAGAAAATACCAATCAACCAGCTCCTGAAGAGATTTAAAACCTTCCAATGCAGTCAAATTGAACTAAAAATAGACTCTGAACTGGCTTCATTCAAATTGAAACTTTAAGCTATGATAAACGGAGAAAAGTAACAAATGTTTGATAAATGCCAAATCTACTATTACTCTTAAAACCTAGTGTTAAAGTTTGTGATTAAATGCAGCCAAAGTCTAAAAGAAAGCTTTTGAATACCAGGTTGCCTTCGACAGCTGTCGCGCGCTATTCGCTAAATAAAAAGTACAATTTAAGCGCAATGAAAAGGAAATGCGGGTACGTTGGTTCGATTGCAGTTCAGCTCAGTAAACAGTAAAAAGTTCAGCACAAGACAATGAACTCTTGGAAATGGCACACAAGGAATAAAAGGGTGCAATTTTGGTGCAGATTTTTATTAAGTTTATTTTTTTCCCACCTAGGGCTTCTGTCAACAGTTTTAGATAAACACTAGCCCAAAAAATGAAAAACATTTACTGAAACAAAAGACAACGTTTAAGTGAACGACTTCATTAATAAAAGCATGCGTCCGACTCGAACATAATTATCCTTTACCTTTAAGTTACAACGATTATTTTCCGTACTTCAAGTTCTGAGACAGTCAAAGATGAAAAAGGAGTAGTAAATAATGTAGCTGACCAACTTGTGTAATTTGAATTTGCGTTTGTGCCAGGGACTAATGCATTGCTTTTGCTGAATCTGCTACATAATTACTGTCCACGGTGATTTGGTAATGGTGTTCGGAATTTGTCAATTAGCGTCACTTCTCACATGAGTTTAACCAGCTGATACGAAATAGACTTCGATTTGTCTTACAGGGCGCACTATTTCTGCAATCTGCATGATAAATTAATAGCAAGAAAAGCTGGGAAGGGAGACCAAGACAGATTGCGTAAAATCTCTTATTCCGTTCATAGTTACTTCATAAACAGATCGCTAGTGAAATATGGACATTAATGATGTTACCCTGGCCTTAAATAATTTTGCTTTTGTGAATTGACCAAGTCAATATTTGTTCAAGTGTCTGGTTAATCCAATTATTTTTCATTAATTAAACATGGTCCTTTCAAACCTTATTAAAATTTCACTTTCAAAACTTATGCCCCAAAATTAAGAATCTAGAGACAAAGCAGACACAGCAAGTTTTTGCAAAGTCAACAAGTTCTTGGTTCCCACAATTTATAAGCCTTCTGTTGGGAAACATTTGAATATTAATGATGGGCACCGTAAATCTTGCCAAATCTTCCACTCCAGCTCTCTCTGAGGTCAGAGCAGACAACAATTTTGAATTTTTTATCAAGGATCGTGATGTAACGCATCCAGAATTCCATATAGTTAATCTTTTATTAATAACATAACTTTTAAATCCGTCGGGTTTTAGGTGATTACGAAGAATGACAACAGAGTAACACCTGTTAATAGTTAAAAGGGCTTGCCTTGCTTCCGTGGCTTGTCCAAACAATACTGCCTTGCGCATATCATTTACTCGAAAGATGTTCGATTCACCAAGGAATTCCAGGTATAGAATAAAAATGGAAATGGGAAGACGTGGGCGACCTATGGTGAACAAAAACATGATCTTCTGAAGAGACCAGCAGGGTGCTGTATCCGTATGTAAATTGTTTGTCTAGGAACTTAACAAAGACGAAACTAAGTTGAAACAAACATTACACCAACGCAAAGCGCCTGTCTTATAGATAACTCAGTTTCCCACAATGGTTTATTGGAAAGAAGGAAGTTGGGACACCACTACCCTGAATTGGACTTAAGAGCAAGTAACGGAATCTCACTAACAAGAGGAATTTGATCACGAATTTTTAAAATAGACAGCTGTCTTACTTTTATTTTGATTAGTTTCCATGGAGTAGATATCAATACAGCTGACTGCATTCTCTAGAATCCTGAGTGTTCGTGAGTTTCTGAGAATGTTTCGTGACGATTCTCAATTTAATTGTTAAAAGGCGCTAATGGGTAATCGAAATTCGTCAATTTTCTTAAAGAAGACTCTTCAGAGTTAAATGAAATGGAAAATTCAACTTGATTGACTAGCTGCAGTTTCAGAGCACTTTTACTGGCGGAAAAGCTTAGAAGAAGGTATTGGAAAGCACGAGGAAGTTTCATACACCGATTTTCTTTGATCCCCTCGCGTTTTCTCAGTTCTTCAACAGAGATGAAATGCGAAAGTTTTGGAGCAGGAAAAAAAATCCTTATAAAAATTTACATTTGTGTATCATACGGCAAAATTAACATTTATAGTTACCGACTCAGTTTAATTACAGGTTATTTTGCTGAGCCCACCTTGTGCCAACACTAGCTTCACATCTTAAGCCCCATAATATCGTAGTCAAATAAAAAAACTAACAGAAGAAGCTCGTGTAAATTCTAAATTCTTTGTGAGAATTAACTATACTGTTCCTGTTGGAAAGGATCGAAAGTTTATTAGACGGCGCAATGAGCTTGAACGGAGTCGAAAAACAGAGAAGAATTGAATTATAATAAACAACGATAACAAAAGATGAAACCCTTCGTGCTCGTCGATCAATCGGATTGAGTCGATTTCCAATATTAAGCCTCACGTCACAATTGTAAGCCTTACCCTTTTGAGCGAGTCTCGATTTTGTCACATGAGAAGAATGGTTAGCATAAACTCTTCGATGAAACATGGAAATATTTCGTTTTAATCTTCCTAATAGAGCTGAAATTTCTTGTATGGCACATGAGGCAAAATTTGTCCACTCAACCGCACCGTTCATATGAAAAAAAAAACAAGCCATAGTGAAAATTGATTCTGTGATTTTATCTTAATTCCAATATTTTTTTAGGTTCATTTTAGAACCAATGTTTTGTTCCAGATGTTTTTGATGCGTCTACCTTAAAGGATTCGCTGTCACCTGGGATATCACTCAACAATGAAAAAATATGATAATTTTTATCCAGCTGGAGGAAATCTAAATTGCATCTCCCTCGAAATAAACAACATTTTCTAAACATAGGTAACATTGTACTATATTGCCCAGAAACTTCAAATTTCCATCTGGACTTTTTCCTTCACGCTAGGTTAAATTTTTAACGACATCAATCATCATACATTGGGTGTGACTCACTGCCTGTAGTGATTTAATTGTTCTCTTCATTCAGGTTCACCGGAAATACTCCAGTTGCATTGACGAATACATGCATCTAAGTTTTATTCTCTGCTATTGTAGAGTAATTCAGTGTGGCATAATTGAAATCTAGCAAGGTTCCGTAAGTTTTGAAACGGTTGCAACTGGCTGCAACTGAAAATGCATTTGCAAAGTTCGTCTTCATTCCTGATCACGAAATTGTCCCCAGCAGGTAAACGAATTGAAATGTGACTAAAATAGTCGTATGTGGAATCCAAGCAATAAAAATCTACGTAATAAACTTAAGTATTCTATAGCACTGTTGGAATCAATGGTAGCCTATATTTTAAGCAACACTAACAAATTGACATTTGAACACGGTCATGTCAAAACCGAAAACAACATCTCAAATCGTTTTGATTTACCTTGTAGCTTTTTCCACTTGAATAATAGCGAGCGATTGCCAACACTGGTAAAGGCCCTGGCTACGGTAAGTGCTTCTCAGCTTTCTTCTTGCCGCAGTACAGTGAAATAAAAAGCCGACTTCATCGATTAATAAACTAACTTACATGCGCGTGATAAATCTTGTTTTGACCCATTCGGTTTCAGGTGTCATGACGTTTATGACGCAACATTTTAAAGGTGATGCGTGACTTTGCAGGCGTTACAGATAGCAATAAGCAATTGTTGTAGTATTTATAGTACCAGTCAACAATTTTCCAGTATACTACTTTCATATTAAAAAAGAAGAAAGGAAGAGGAAAAAGAAGAAGAAGAAGAAGAAAACGAGAGGAAGCGAAATAGATGATAAAGATTTGTTTTGACCGAACTCTCGTAGTCGCTGATGTGTTCGCTGATTTTGCACCTCACCGATTGAGGAAAAAAAATTGAAGTAAAACAAAACGAGCTAAGAAAAATAAAATAAAAAATTTATAAACATGCGAAACGCTTACGTTTTTCATATTTTTCTTTTAAATTGAAAGTACGAGGAAAATCCTTCCCTGAGGCCAACAAAAATTATGCCCGCGTTAGTTTTCGTGTGCCTTGTCACGTCGCTGTACAAAGAACGCTTTAGAACATTATATGACCTTTTGTTTTCTTAAAATGTAGCCTTGTTTCGTTTTGATTGCGTGATTATAAAATATCCTTTTGGCTAGCTGCACAAAGAGTTATTTCAGTTTAGTTTCCTTTACGTCACAGAAGTATATAATGTCTTTTTTCACGCGAACATTTTAGTTTGAAGGAGTTGTCCCTGGAGACTAAAAGCAGCATGTATCAACCATTTTGTCGAAAATTTCACCAGCCAAGACCTCAGGTGCCATATCAAGATGAGAACCGCACAACGCACCCCATATTTCCTTTTCCTGCTTGATTACACGGACATCAAATAGTTTCACTTTATTATCAGTTGTCAACGTAACAAAACAAAACTGTGAATGACAAAGAGATCAAAATGTTTTGTTAATTTCTTTGCAATAACGACAGGGAATCTTTGAGAGTATATATTTTAAACCTGAATCACTGAAGAGCGTATAACTTACCGTCAAATTGTCCAGTTTTAGCTCACAGTGGACATATCCCTGTTGTTGAACATAACTCAAGGCATTTAGGATCTGTTGAGCTCAGAGTAACACTTGCTTGTGCGCCGTTTGATCTTCAGAGTGTGCAGGAGCACTTTCAGCATGGGAAATGATGTATGATTTGAGGGCGCATTCACAGAAGACAACAAATCTTTCAACTTCTTTTTGTACTGGAATTTATTTATGAATTTCTTAGTTAGAGCCACCATGAAAGGAGTGCTAAGTACCACTGAGGTCAAGCCTTATCGGACCCACACTGAAGCATTTCCAGGCCCTCTTTCTTTTTCGGAACCCTTTCTTTCGTGAAGTTGGTTGCTCAATTGATTCACCCTTGGAACTGCCCTCCTCTGGATTTCCAGAAAGAGGTTCTCATTCTACCTTCCTGATATCTTCTTTCATGATGTTATACTTCTTAGCGCAAAGTTGAATCAGGGCAACGTGGCTTTGGAAAAATGATGTTCCTTGTCTTCCCATTCCTGCACAGCTTTCCGGGCTCGTTCGGAAATCCACTTTAATACTTTATTTTAGTTCTTCCCATGTTAGTTTAGCCTCAGGGATCTCATACCCGTACCACGTATAAAATTTCTGAGCGATGTCGTCTGATTTGAAATAGGTAAGAAGACCTTTAATATTACCTTTGATTATTTGCATTTGGCATTCACCTAGCTCGCTAAGTAGTCGATTGTGAAAGCCCTCTAGTTCAGCCATTCTATCTATCTCTCGTTCCCGATCTTCTTCTCTATTTCCTTGCGTGACATGGTCGTTGTTTTCAACCAACTACAGCTTTGACCAGACGTCCGTGACAGGAGGTCTTCAAGCCACCTTATGAATATTTACAAGAATAATTTACACCGCAAAACTGTCTCCTCAGATATGAATGACGTCGAAACTGAGAAAAAGTAGTAACTAAAGAATCATTTCACCATTAGTTCCTTGCAAACTGAATCTAACGAGATCGCCCACTTATTCTTTCTTTGAATTGTAGATGAGGTCAAAATTGCTCAAGTTTAGCTAATGAAGTGTAACGATTATAATACATTTTTTAATTTAAAACCTTCTTAAATATATCAATTTTCGATTATTTTTCCCCGTAAGTAACAAGCTTTGCTTGTCATACTCAAACAGGTTAAGATACTGACCTAAACATGTCACGTTCTGGGTTATTGTGTCTCCCATTTTAACAACAGGTAAGCTTTAGGGAAAGATTTTACCATCACAAAGTTTCAATGGAGCTCATAATGATAAGTTGAAAGAGTATTCTTTGCCAGTGTATGGAGCACTGTGAGCTAAAACTATGATAAATTACCGTTATTTTGAACAAAGTTTGCTCACCTGGAGTAAATCGGCTGAAGGCTGGTCTGCAAACGAGATTACTTATTCCATGTAAAAGCTTATCAAATTCTTCTGTGATGACGCTCTACATATGTGCACACTGAGTTCTACTGGAAGAGAGATAGAGATCTGCTTCACCGGATTCAGGTCTCCAAACCTTTCAGTAAGTTCAATTTACTTTTGCTTCACTTGTTCGGCATTGTTTGCAGGAATTTGATCCCACCTGTTTAAGACAAATGATGTACACTGGGTAAATAACTTTTCGTTCATTTTTTTATACTTCTGTAGACTATTGGCTTCGCTGGATAAAATAAAAAGGAGCTGTTTTAGGATAATGAAAAGAGAATCAAAATGTAAAATACGTTCGCTGAGGTACCCAAAGCAAAAATGCATATTAACGCAAGAGAAATTACAATATACTTTGCGACTGTTCCACCTAGAATAGCTGGACGTGTCGGGGACAGTTCGCCGAGAGCTTTTTTGACACGAAGTTGTAGAACACAACGGTTTAATCCAGGTCAACTGAACTCGTGATTATGTACGACTTTCAAATTACAGACATTTCCACCAACTTGTGTTGTCTCGAAGTGGAACTAATATTAATCAATATCAGTTCGTTAATTCGGCCGCTAGTCTGTCCCAACAGGTATATTCCCTAGAAAATAGATTTCGGTTGTTTTATCATACTTCAAGAGAAGCAGCAGCAAGAAAAGCAACTGAGACTCAATAAAGAAACATTTAAACTGAAAATTTAGGTATAATAAAAAGAAAGACGGATAACTGTAATGCCATGCTGTCCGAAGCAATGACTACTATGTGATCTCGTGGGAAAAAATACAGCTCAAGCCACAGTATTTTCTCCAACGATAGTCCAGTTGTTTGGAAATACACTACTGTCTTAATTATTCGTTCACGGTCTACGTTTAGGCAAAAAATTGAGGAAAGCAACGAGAGCTCACCCTGTTCTCCTGAACTCCACCCGAATTGGAACTGTATATCATATAGCTAAGGTAAAAGGCTTCGCGTATAAAGTGCGAGCAACAGAACAGACGGACGACAGATCCAGTGGCAAGAGGAGTTTTAAGAAGACGAATGGAAAGTCCTCACTGCTTGATCTTATAAAAATAATTTCCCATGTGTGAAATTTAATAAAGCTTTAAACGAGTAGTTCCTCATAGAAAGTGAAGTGCTGCGAGGTTAGCTCGATGTACTTTGAGCCTGTAAAGTATGGCATATTAATTAAGGAAAGGAAGCTAGGGAGGTTTAGTCATAATATAATGCTTTGTAAAAATAATGGAATAGCAAAAATATACAAAAGTACAAAAATGAAGTGTAAATATTTCAGAAACACATTATTTGTAAAAGATGTTTTTAATTTTTGGAGAAGGGTATGGATCTTTCACTTTCAAAATTTTGGTTTCTTTTACTCCCACAGATACTCAATGGTTTCCTTCACCCCTCCCTCTTTCGCTGTAGTAGATAGCCTAATAGCCTAAAAATGAGCAGATAATATGGCTACCCCACCACCACCTGATACAACATACACACATGCATAGACAACCCTTTAACCTTTTTTGAAAAGTAATATGTAACACTTACCAATAATAAGTTTGCAAACTAACAGGTTTAACAGTTCAATAATAGGCCTTGAGCCAAAAGTAAGGGTTAATTATTTTTGAGAAAATTATTATTTTTTTTATTTCTCATCCAGTTTGTACATTTGATGAACGATTAATTTTGTGTCATAAGCTGTTGTTCATACAGAAATGGTAAGAAGAGATGACTTAATATGTATGTTTGTCACTTCACTTGCAATATTCTTAGTAGGGTGTTTTGAGTCATGGTCCAGTAGCATATTCTCAAATTTTCTTGCAAAACCTTGGAAACCATAGCACCTTGTAGTGCTGAAGTGATGCAGTTAGAATAGTACCAATCGATGGTTATCAATTTTCATAGTCCTACCGTTGAAGTGTTATCCTTAACATGAAGAGAATACAGCAAGTAATTAAACATAACGAAACTTTATATTAATTGAATGTCAAGGAGATAAACTACATATAAAAAAGGCTGTCTTGCTACAGAAAGGTGAATTATGTTGATGTAAAACTATATCACATACTATACCAGTTAAAGAAGGTGTCTCAATAAGTTGCTCAGGTTCATGCAATGGTTTTTTGGAAATTTTCTAATTCGCTACATTTCAACTGTTCACCTCCTGAGGTGTCGAGATACCTTTGGGAATGCAAACTTTCAACTTAAGGTTTTCAAGCTTGTATGTTTCATAAGGAACAAGAACATTTACGATTACCTTGATGAATACTTCTACCAACAATCAAATTAGCGTTTGCCATTTTAACATTTGAACTTACCTCGCTTTCGCCTCAAAACTCCATAAACCTCACTGGTGCAAAAGAAAATTCGTGAGTGAGGGGTGTAACTTCGTTGCGTACGCGAGACAACAGGGAAAATCAAAATCTGAAAGAAAGAAGTGACACTGTGGATTCCTTACTTATTCCCCACACCACAGACAGTTTCTTGTGTTGTTTGTGTGTACTTCAGCACTAGGCGCTGGAATCCAGGGGAGTGGGGGGAGGGGGGCTCGTGAAAGTTACCTTGGAGTGAGGCCTAAGGGGTACAGTAGCCTCTGAGGAGACTCTCATAAGTCTCGTTTGTTTACATTTTAATCACACTAAATTTGCTAGTAATTTGACCCATTTCACTGAAAAGTTATCAAAAATTGTCACTTTTCCAGAGGCTGGAATCGGAAAACAATTGCGTCTCATTTTCGAGTTGGAACCCAATGGATCTCCCCTTGGATCTCCAAATTAACTTCAGCAAGTGGGATTAATACCCAACCAATAAAGCTCACCTTATAGCTAGCAAAACGAGGTACCGATCCATCCAAATGGCTTACAGCATAGAATAATGGTTGAAAAAATTGATCTTTGTTCTCCGTCACGCTTTTTTTTCATGTGACCACTGAAGGGGTCACATTATGGACTAGAGTAAAATTAATTCAAAATTGCCCTTGCATATCGGAAAAGTATGTCTGTTATGAAATATCGATGTCTACAACATGTTACTTCATAAGGATATGACTTTAATATTTACAGATCTATCATAAGTATTCGCAAAACTCGGCTCCTCTCTCTATGTTACGTCTCATAGGAGCAAAAAGTGAAGGCGATTTTTTTGTGCAGAAAACGTTTCCGGCCATTTATTTACACAAGGTCTAATCCAAACCATGATTTTACGCAATCAGTGGGTCTCGGGATTTGTATATAAGAAGGTTGACTTGGTTAGTTAAACGTCCTTCTACTGTTAGCTTTCAACCCTCTTGACTCTCTTAACAATAGTAAATGTTCAAATAAAGAGTTCAATTAAATTTAGAATTGTTTAGGACGCGGTTTTGTCTACCAACGGCTACACTTTGTTTTAAATAATCAGACATTTGGTAGTTATTCTACCGGAAAGTATTATTGAATGCCTGATAACGTCCGTACTGAATTGCCAGTCGAAAACTGAATACCCTTTCAGATTGCGTTTTAGACCCTGCTTCTTGCTTCACGCCCAGGACGTAGTATGATGACAGTACTGTATGCCTTAACATGTACCTTCTACCTAATCTGTAGACAATAGTCCGTATTGACCAAACAATACGTGTATTCATGAATTAATCTTTACTGCTTTAATAGAATACCATTTTTTAACCTATTGCTATGCACTAGTCTGAGAGCAACGTCCAATCAGTCCGAAAAATGGAAGGCATGGGCCCTAAAGACAAAAAATGAAGTCATCATTACCTCACTGATTGAGCAACGGAATCTTACGCATTTCATCATATAGGGTTCCCCCCCTCCTTTGCAAGATTCCTCTGAATACTTCAGTCACGCCTTGTGTACACCAGAGCGAAACGGTAAAGATCTGCCGCAATGGACTGACTCGATGCTGTAGTGGATAGGCTATTTAGAGGTCATTTCCTTTGCGTGCCTGCTTCCATTTTAGTTACCTTCGGGGTTCATCCAATATGGCTACAAGCAAAGCAAAAACCATTGATGGTATTGATGATTTTAAAGAAATGCTTGAAGTGATGACAGCCCTTGAAATTTCATCGGGAGGATTAAAGACGTTAGACGAGATGAAAAGTCGAGTAAAGTCTGAATTAGAACAGCTTCCTAACATCCCCAGTTGGACTGCTGGTCAGGTAAACGTTTTGTATATCGAAAAAAGTCTCTATAATTTTCTAGAACGCTGTTTCTCATCTCAAATTGTTTAGAGGATGCCAAACGGTAACAGCGTTGTCGAACTTTTCTTTGTGTCGTCAATAAACAGATATGAATTTAACTCTGGGTTTTACTCGCTCCCGTTTTTGGTCCTGTATTTCTAAATTTTAAACTCCATTTAAACAATTCATCACGCATGAGATTACCATCATTAACTCCTCATACAATTTTTCACAAACTTTCACGTGTTTGTGAGGTATGGAGTGCAAAAGTTTTTGTCGCTGTCACAATTAACCTCAAAATTTAAAGTGGTTTGGGAGCTTTTTAAGGGTTTCCAATGCTAGTCGGAGCACGAAAAGAAACATGCGAAAAGGGACTCACGAAGGAAGCCTTATTAGAGCGACGAAACATTTTGAATTGGAATTCATAACATTGTGATCCAAGCAGGACATTGGGAGGACACGAATAAAGCTTGTAAATCAAAGGCCGTTTGGCAATTCAGTTAAGATGCTTTTCGAGTGTTCTTCTAACACTCCAAATTACTTTATTCTCTTATAAAACCCGGAAAATATTTTATTGCCTTTATGAAATTATCATAAAGAGAGAACAATAAATGTACCAGCTATTCTGTGATTTAGTCGCTGATTTTTTCATTAGATCCGCTAAGAACAACTAAAACCAATATTAGTTAATTAATATATATCTACTGCAAGAAAATGAACTCCAGGCGAGCGGCAACGACTGCATTGATAAATAAGATGGCACCACGACCTAAGCGAAATCGTACTGAAAACTTAGAAAAACTTTTCGCATGCAAATTGAAGCAAAAACTTTAATTTGTTACGGTACACTGACTACTTCGAAGTAAACGACGAAAACGCGAAACTTGCTAGTTCGTGAGTGTTTTTTTATTTTGTATGTTTCTTCAGCATAACGGTTCTTTGCACAGATTCAACTCGAGAAATTTTTCCCTTCTTGTGATGTTCATGATAAATTCCTAAAAAAATTCTGTTTCGCTGAATTATGACGGATGAAGAGGAGCAAATTAAAACACGACATGCTGAGCCATGGGCAGAATCTCAATCGCCGTCAATTAATTTTAATCGCGATGCAGTATTTTCCTTTCATTTAAATTCTCTCACTTCTTCCATTTGAATCAGCGGTTTTACTGAGCCTTCCACAGAGTCAAAAGTGAGAGCTATAAAAAGCTTGCACCTGGTAAAAATTTAAAATTGCAAACTCATATCGTTGACGATAAACAAGCGGAATCGTTTCGAACTCCAACCTAATGATTTTCTTTGTTATGTAGAGAAGATCTTAGAAAATTTTCGAAGAAAATGCTCCTTTAAGTTATTGCTACTTAAGAACTGAAGAAATGAAAAAAGTAACTTTCGTTTTTTAGCTCCATTATTATTCAGACGAGAGTGCAACCGTCCCATTGCAATTTGAACAATCGTCTTGTTCATAAAATAAAAGTTACCTTATCAGAGGGACGTTAGTGTATGAATAGTCCTCTTTCATCCGAATTCAACTTTCCAATGCTTTGATTATCCCTGCGGGTGTTTCTGTTGTAATAAAACAAGCTTGGACAATGGATTGATTGATCCGATGATGCTTGCTGCGTACAGTTCTTCTTTGAAATACGATAATGACTGCTGGAACCTTTTAAGTATCATTCTCAGTCACGATACCAGAATCTCTCCTAAACAGTTACAATTTCACTATACAAAACAGCCATTTCTTGTACATTTACATGCGAACTTCTCTTTTATCAGTAGGCCTTCTCTGTTTTATCAAAAATAAAAGAGCAAGATGCCAAGGTTAAAGAATTCCTGCTGAGCTTTTACCACGAAGTTGAAACGTGTTATGATGATCTAGATGACAAAATTCAAACTCTGCTGCAGAAAAAAATGGGTGATGTAAAGGAAAAAATGAAAAGCTATCAGATAAAATGAAACAAGAAGATTACTGCCTTCTAGTGGCAGGTACATTTAATTGTATTATTTCTTTGAGTTCTTGTAAAAAAGTATGTGTTGTTTGGGGTTGAGAAAAGAGCAGAGAGATTTGTTATAAATTAAAAACAGTTTACGCACCCATTTCCATGGGAAAAAATTTTAACCTGTCCTAAAATACCGATTGCACCCACTCCTTTCATGAAAATATTTCACACTCAGAGGTGAAGAGCAGCCTATCATATTATACTTCATACCTCAGCAACAACACAGAGAAAGAGAGCCTAATTACACAGGATTGTTACAACTCCAAATTGTTAGTAGACCAGTGCTGTTTGAATAACCATGACCACCGATGTGTTTCATTTAAAGGTGAAACTGGATCTGGAAAAAGCAGTTTGATTAATCTCATTCTTGGGGAAGAGCTTCTTCCCTATTCTATTCTAAGCACCACGTCCACCATATGCGAGTTGAAATACGGAGAAGAACGTAGAATTGTTGCCCACTATAAAGACAAAGACCCGGAAACGTTATTGCCCATAAAAACTTTCAACTTGGTTGAGCCTAAAGCTTCTGGAAAAAGTTACCATGACCAGATCTTTCCATTTGTCCAGAGTGGTCGGGAAATAGGCTCAGTTTACAAGAAGGTAGAACTCTTCTGGCCTCACAAACTTTTGAAGGTACCATTGTCTAGTTTTGTTTGTATCTCGGTTTGGATGTAATATTTACTTATGAACTTTTTAAATCGTGAAGTGAAAAGCAGAAATATAAATCCAAAGGATCTTCAGAACACCCTTCTCGCGATAAATTTCAATTTCTTTGCGAGTATGATTATACAATCGATTTCGAAAACGTCAGCACCTTAAAAGTACGATCTATGAATGATGAGACCTAAAGGCTTTATTGGAAATGCTCGCACAGTTACATAATCAGTGCTTTTCTTTCTCATTATTTGTGGAAACCCTTTCTTCCTGATAATTCTTTTCTTCCAGGAAGGCGTGGATGGCTTTTCTCATTCACTATGTGCAACTAATTTTAGTTATCATCCACATGTATACCAGTGAAGCCGTTGGGTCTTATCGTTCATTCCTAAGCCTTTTTAGGTGTCAACGTTTTTGAAATCGAGTTTATGTAATTGTTATTGCAATTAGGCACTTTCAACTATGTAGGAGAAAATAGCCTTAGAATATCACTGGTTCGTTTTCAGAATGGAGTTGTTATCATTGACAGTCCCGGTGTTGGCGAGTCTGAAATCATGGATGAAATAGTTAGAGAGTATCTGCCTGAGGCCTTTGCATTTATTTATGTCATCAACTGCACAAACGCTGGAGGAGTTCAGAAAGATAGAGTAAGTCTAATTAGGAAATACAATTTGCAATACCTTTTCATCAGCAGCTGTTATAGGTGTATCGGAAACACGCCGTGCTCTTCGTGGAACATTCCGACGCAAGTCATGATCATAACTCAAAGCAAGTTAAAAAACTACAACAAAACTCGCAGGATCTCTTTAAGGAAGATAAAAAGGTTCTCAACTCTGATTGATTTATCTCTGGTGTAACATCAAAACGAGTTAAATTTGACTTTCTTTCCACATTTCATCAGTCATTTGATAGCAGTCACATGAAAGATACATTTGTATTTAATTATGACAAATGATAGATTTATGAAAAATCAAAGTGACTACTGATTCGAAATCATAGTGATTCAAAATGAAAGGGTTACAAGACAAAGTAACCTTATATGGTAAATTACAGTTGGGAAAGTTGCTGGAGGGCGTCAAAGAAAAACGTAAGGAAGAAGAGTTTACATCCACCTGTGCTTTGTTCGTGTGTCACAAGTGGGATCAAGTGAAAGAAAAAAAAGAAGAAAAGAAAGTGGAGAACCATGTCATCGAAAAGTTAAAGAATTTCTATCCTGATATTGTCCCAGAGAAACAGGTCGTTCAAATGTCAACGAAGAATGCCAGCATAGCCCAAAACTACGGGATCGCAACCAAAAGATTTGTTTCTCTGATGAATTGTATGAGATCTATGGTTTTAAGAAGCGTCAAAGCCAGGCTGGAATTTTATTGGAGGTAAGCACCTAACTGTTAGTATTCTCCAATAGTCATATGTTCATATGCATCGGTTAATGCGAGGTGAAAAGAAACACAACCAGTGTTTCTTTTTGGAGTGGAGTAGAAAATTGGCGAACGGGGTAAGTAGTTGCACGAAACATTTCAAAATAGGTAAGTAGCATTACATGGTCTGAATCAATGCCGAAGCAAAGGTTTTTGCTCATTAATAGAAGCTTTCAAGGGGTCAGTAAAACAGTTGTTGTCTACATTTGTATCGCCTCGACAATACTCTGTTGATCCTTGGTATTGTGTTTGTTTCATTAGATGGCTATATGGACTTCTTTCTCAAATAGTTTACCACGCAAAAGTCCATATGAAAAATACTACAAGAGAACAGGAAGAAATCCTGAAATTAATTGACTCTGTTAGCGTTCGTTTGAGTTACATCGAAGAAAAACAAAATGAAGTCATGAAAGACCTCCGCAACCATCTGGAGAGTCGAACCAAGAGTGTAGTAAAAACCCTTTCCGATTATCTTTGTTCGGATGATATAAGATCGCAATTTACCTCGTGGACCTCGGATAAGGTACCAAAGACAGAGTCATCTTGGGAGGTGACAGAGTGCAACATCACAAAGGTGATGGAAAACCGCCTGCAAGAGATCATAAAACGTTGGGAAGAAGACAACCATGTGTTTACAGATACTCGTGAGTCTCTTGTTCGGCACTTCAAGGAACGGTGCAATTTTCTTGAAGGAGAACTCCGTATTCTACAGGAAGCTCTATTATCTGACGAAATCATGCCACAAGATCATAGTGAAACAGGCTTCGGACTCACCATAGAGGACAAGATTGCCATTTTTGTTACAAGCCCTATCTGGGTTCCCCTTTCTCTCATTGTCTTGGTGGTTGGTGCCCCTAAGGTTGGCGTAATGGCGATTATGAGCAAGTTGGAGGACAAAAGAAGGATCAGGAAATATGACGAAGACAAGTGTGCTTTCATGAGACAAGCATCCACCGAATACTTGAATGAAGTTGAAGTTAAAAAAGAAGATGTGCTCATGAACTTCGTGAAGGACCAACTGAAAGATGCCGCTCTGTGTCTGAAGCAAATTGAAGCCCGTATTCCAGAGCTGATTGAGGCTGACCATTCTTTGTGTAAACAACTTTAGGAAGAGAAAAAATCAACAAAAGACGTAAGAGACACTTATATACCGATTTTGGATGCAGCTTCAGAGATCAGAGGTCGTCTGGCCGTTTTTGGACTTGAAGAGGGCCTCGCAGCCGGTATCAGCAGCGAGATTTTGGACCTAAAAGGTCAATCTGACTGTCTGGGTCGGGGTGCTTTTGCCTCTGTTTACAGAGGAATGATGAAAACTGAGAACGGAGACGAACAAACTGTGGCAGTGAAGATTTTCACCGAATCGCTTAAAGCAGATAATGCTTGCGACATTGTCGATGAAATTGAATTTTTAGAGTAAGTAATTAAAATTTTCCCAAAGCTTCATTATTTAAGTACATTTGATAAACATCCTGACTGACGAAGTAAGCAAAGCCCAAGAGAAAGCCTCCTTAAAGCGTACAGAACTGTTGCACGACCACTATTCTTGGTCTCGATCATCATTACATAAATTATTTAATTGATTCTCAGGCGCGTCATTATAAGATTTGGACGGGGTAACCTTATGATTTGCACGCTGCCCTTCCCATCGAGAGGTTAGCGTCGAAGTTCTAGCCGGTACTCTGATGCATATTTTTAACCATGAGTCGAAATGATATTCCGGCGTACCGTTGGGGAAACCTGACTAAGCGCTGTTCGGGAAAACTTGCGAAGGATTACCTTCTGTCTCAAAATAGCCAGCATTATGCAAATATGTTCAGTCGTTTAGAAACAAGATCAGCCACTTGGCGTGCTGTTGTCTTTTGCATTGCTATACTGGCACAACACGTTTTGTAGAGTAAACGATAGAGGAAAATAGGAAAAGATATCTATGTACGTTAATAAGACGACTAAGGGTATGTTTCTTTGGGCTTCCACCTGTAGAGACGATATGCGGAAACATTTTCAGGATTTTATTTTCTCTTCCTATGAAATGAAAGAAAGTAAATTAACAACATGACTTCCTACAAAAACTTGAATTCATGGACGTTCATCTTTACAAATTTTCTTTCGACGACTGAAACTTTTGTGCTTATACTTTCTTCACCAGAAAATTAAAGCATCCTAACGTTGTCACTTTTCATGGCACATCGCTTCTAAAGGAAGATGGCGAAACCCGAGTAATACTAGTCATGGAATACTGCAAGGAAAATTTAAAGAATCGCATTTTCAGTAATCCAGAAAGAGCCCCTGCCAATTCTAAGAATATCGATGCCAAAACAGACGCCTTTCAATGGATAAAGCAGATAGTCACTGCCCTGTCCTTCATTCATGATCAAAAAGTCGTTCACAGAGATCTCAAACTGGATAATATATTGGTATGGAACTAAGAGAAACGTTATAGTTGGTGGCGAAATAAAACACACGCCTTACCATCAGACTAAACTTTTCATTTGGGCACTTAAAGCTACTTTTTGGCTCTTGGAAAATCTGTCAATGACCAAGCTTTTTATGTTAAGATTGCTCATACGAGAGAGAAAAGCTCTTTTTTTCTTTTACAGGCCTAAAGATCTCTTTACTGCACAAAACGCAAACAAAAAAAAGGAAGGAATTAGTTTGACCGGCATTGAGCTATTTTTATCTAAGATTTTAATCTAATTCTTATAAAAAGCAAATTACAATTCCTTTAACACGCCTTTCAGTGACTAGTCCTTCGAAAGAATCTTCAAAACAATCCCGTTGTATTGTGATGATCATGACATAATGCTAGATCATCCTTGTGCACATCATTTATCTTTTTTTCTTTTCACTTTAAAAGCTATCAGCCACAAATGAAGTGAAGATAACCGACGTTGGCGTTTCCAAGGATGTGAACAAGATCACAGGAACTTTGGCAGGAACACCTGCTTATGTGGCACCGGAAGTGTTTCACTCTCAGCTGTATGACACGAAAGCAGACATATACAGCCTGGGGATAATTTTATGGGAGATGTGGTATGGGCAGCAGGCCTTCAGTGAATTCAGTGACATACCAAGTCATGTAGCTCTCTTTAACATGGTGGATGAGGGCCTTCGCCCAAAACATGTGAAAGGCTGTAATGAGCCGCCACGCCGCTGGAAAGATTTGATGGAGAGTTGCTGGAACAAAAAACCAGCGGAACGCCCATCAGCTTCGCATTGCCTCAAGGAAGCTGTTGAACTTCATAGAGAGGCAATGGAAGTTCTGTAATTTGTCGCAATGACGACTAGGACATGTGGGAAAACTTAACATTGCGAGAAAACTATATATCGCCCATGGTACACTTGAATGTAGAAGAAGGATTGATCAGTTTGCTTGTAGCTTAGTTTATGCAAATTCTATTTCCTAACCAAAAGTAGTTTTGTTTCTGGCTGAGATATTTTTGATGAGCGGAAAGACGAAATGATTAGATTTTACTGTCCATTCTTTCGTCTTGATACATGCCACCCTCCACTAAGGAATCAGGAGTAATGTTTTTTAATGATTACAATAATATTTGTTGGTGATATATTTCTAATCTATGTATTTTAATACTTTACCTTGAATTTAGGTTCCGGGATCAATAATCGGAGGTCTTGACCAAGAGATTTAACACAGAAACTGCTACTGAGAGAAACAGTTCGTAAATCCTAGCTTCATATTCTCAGATGCTAATTTAAGGAAGGAGTGAATCACCATCCAAGTTTAGGCAAGAAAGATGCTAAGAAAATTTTTTTTTTTTTCAGAGGGCACGGTAACGAATCCTGCAATCTGATTGGTTCTTTAACCGGTCAGTATTTTCCTATCTCTGCCCACGGGTAACGGTAACGCTTTCGTGAGTCGCCGAGTACATCCCTACTTTCGTTGCCATTTTTCATAAATATATCTCGTTTTTCCGGCTGGGCAGTATTTTTAACCAAAGACGTCTGTCACTACCTCAAGCCGATAAATAACTTATCAATGCTCTCGTTTCTCTTTCTCAAATCACTGTGGTTGACAAAAAAATATTGTTTTCGGAATTTATTTGTTAAGCAATAGTGTCATTACGTTGGTTGAGGAGCGGCCTAAAAACCGTCTGCAATTAATTTTAATCGTTCACAATAAGTACCTAGAAGTTAAAACGTGAGATATTTGGCTACAGTTAAACTAATCGATGGAACGTTCATTCATTTAATATCTGAATTTTCTCAAATAATTTGTTCCTAGTGAAAGGGCGAGCGAAGTTTTAATTTCAGTTCTACAACAAATATACGCTCTCGGTGAGTCTTTCCAAATCCGTTCAATTTGGACATTTAAACCGTAACTTGCACAACAGACACTGAAGGAGATAAAGTTAAACCTTAAATCTCCTTGTGTCTCGTTGGAGTGTATCACTCGAATTTAGTTTTTATGGAGGAAAGACCAGATTTACACATGCCATTGCAAGAAACAAACGAGCAAACTCTCACAACTTCAAAATAAAAAATTTGAATTTACTTACAATTACTTTCCTCGCCGTTTACCTAATGAACAGAGGTAAATCTTCGTGTATGAATTAATCCTCGATGAGAGTGTATAATACTTTTCGTAAGATCATTGACTATTTTTAAAGAAAACATTGTCGTGACAGTTCTTGCCAAACTAGTTTGTTTTTTTTTTTTCAAAAGTGTACATGCGCTTTTTTTTCCTTACGCGCTCTCTAATTGACAGGTATCAGTTTGTGACAGATAATTGTAAAAATAATGTTTCAAAGTTTATTTGGAAGCCTTTTAAATCACCTTTATCATTACGCAAGTGGAAATGTTTCAGTAAAGCATCTCTCTTTAATTTGCATCACCTCTGTTTTAACTACCATTTACATTTTTACTAAAAAATAATAGATATGTTATTTACTGGCTAAGGGTCGGTCCGTCTGGTGAAAAACTGTGAACTCGGTAACAGTTTTTCGCAATACGGACCTCTCAACCGGCAAATAACATATATGTAATTTGTCGACGACTGCGATTGTTTTCGACCATCGGTTGAAAAATCAAAAATACTATTGTTTGCATACACGGCTGGGTAAATATTTCCTTTAGGCGCCTAGATGAACCATTGCCTATTATCGCTTTATTATTAGATAAAAATTTATAATCACGTTCATTTGTTTTTTTGCGCCCCTTAATGAGAGGAAGCTTTTCTCTGAGAGGTGTGTCATTTGCCTTTTTTTTTTTTAATTTTGGGCTGTTCAGATTGCATATCGTGTGTCCATGACCAGATGAGTTCGTTATCCTTCTGTTTACTATGCAGCTCTGCTATAAGATAACAATTATGGCATTAATTTAGAATCTCAGAATCTGGTTTTTAAATTTACTTTCTCATTCATTTTTCGATATTTAAACAATTATCTCTCATTCTTGCACTATCGCACCCCTAAATGTTCAATTTTCTCGAGAAAGGAATTGTTTCCACAATTGTCTAAGTGGCTTCATGTTGAGCATACCACCCACGACAATGTAACATTCTTCCACTGAATTTTCAAATATTCCTTACTCAGTCAATTTTTCCAGTTTTGGCTATTTAATGAATGACTAAACGCATCTTTTATTTCAGCTTTCAATTGCTTCACTGTCCTTGGTCCTTGACAAGGAATATCGAACGCGTCCGTGCCTTGAGGTATTTCAAATAGATCATCCATATCGCTGGGTTTTTTTGTTTTCTTTGATGCTATATTCACATGTATCCTGTTGAGCGACCGCCAAAATTAATTACATCATACTCGAATGAAGACAGCGATAAAAAATTGTTCTATGCTGCATTTCCGCACGGCTACTTCATAGGCTTCTCAGTCATCAGGAAAAGATAATTGTAGCAGTTTTCGTGCGTGCTCGAAGCACGACAGAGAGTCTTAATGGCGCGATGGCTGCTATGACTTACGGTTTAAATTTAGGCCATTTTACGGCTTACGGTTAACTTTCATTATGATTAAGTGAAAAATTTTAACGCTCGACGGTTAAAAAACTTGTCAATTTTTACGCCTAACAGTTAACGGTTAACCCCATCGAGACCCTCATGATAGAGGTCATCTCGTGCCTAGTGGTGTTGGCAATGAAAATGATTGTTGTTTATTGATTTTCTGCCATGATCATGATAAGGTTTTACCATGAAGAAGATTAAAACTATACCATTTACAGCTATTTTTTTTTGTTCTCATCGTTTCGTCTTTGGAATGCGCAGGCCGAGTATTTTCAGGTTGGGAAATGATTCGATTTTTGAGCGAGCATTTTCAGAAGTATTAGATAATCATCACTTTTGTCTAAGACGGTGAAGACGGATGAAGATGCGTTCTAAAGAAGTGAATGATATTTAGATGACTGAGGTATCTGAATGATGGAAGAAAAATTAGGAGAAAGGTTTATGATTCAAGGTACATACTTACTTTAAGGTACGTACCTTCTTTTTTATAAACTTCAAATCTGTTTTGCAATTGTGGACCATATTGATAAGAAATTTACTCTTACACTGTATTCTTTCCGCTGTTAACTTTCAGTTACATTTTCAATAATATGCATTTAGATATGTTCTTCTCTATTTCAATATTTCTGTTGTGATATTTTGTACAGTACAGAGAGCCTACCTCAGAGCGTATTCCTCAGCGAAAAAATGCGATATGTTGTTGCTTCTAAAAGGACTGTTGTACACTTTTAGTGCCAACTCAACTTCTGGCTTTCCTTTTTTTTAAAAGAATACCACTATACACTGTGGAAAAGGATCTCCTTCCAACGATAGATTTGTCATCCTGGTTGCATTGTAGTTCCTTGTATAAAAAGTGTGATGTTCTTAAAAAAGTTCACTTCGAAAACTGTTATTTCAAGATTACGGGTTCATAGACACTATTTCCGTCGGGAAATACTAAGGGTTAATGTCAATCATTAATGTTAATCAATGAAACCCTTTTCGATACCCCTAACGCAATATGAGTCTCATTTACCTCACGCTAAGCCGCGACAGAGGCAGAGATGTAAGCATCTTTGAAAACCGCTTGGAGCAAACAGTTTTCGATATAAAACACTAATAGAAAAGACTCCGACTGAGGTTTGCATTCTGAATTTTTTTCACGGTTCGCCGTCTGCAGATACGATGGTTTATATTTGGTGGTTAGTACTTAACCGAAAGTCATCATTTAAAACTTTTTACGATGTTCTGGACGTGTCTTGACTCATATCTGGAAACGTGTCGTTTTACGTTTAAACTTAAGTACCTCATTGCAATAGATCATGAGATCGTAATATGTATAAGTGGAGGCTGTTTGCAATTTTGACCTCGGGATTGGTTTGTGCGCCGACATTTTTAATACTTCTCTGCTGGACTACAGTTTATTTGGAAAGCATCTTAGAATCAAGTTTTCTTCAAACATACTCTGGGTAGTTAGCAAGATATATTGCGGCGCTTTGCATTTTTTGTGCGAAGGAACGCACGGCATTTTTCCGTGAATGACCATTATTTGCTTTTCTTAAGAGTTCATTCGGAATGGTTGTATCAAAATTAAAAAGATTACATTGAAAACATATCGCGATGAAGGAACAGTTACAGGTCTCAGTCGTGGGATATCAGCAAGGAAACGTGCTGTGCTGTTTAGCTATGTGCTGTTGCTTGAGTACGTGTTAAAACATTGCAGGGAAAAGCATATTTTCCAAGAGGACAAATTGTCTTGGAAGACGACCTGAGCGAGTTATAAAGGACGAAAAGTAAAGTCTGCATTCTGTAAGTTGTACTGATACCACTTAAAATAGTGTATTATAGACATGATCCACGTCAACCAAACCACAAAATAATTAAGGAGATTAGTCTAAGATTAGTTTCCTCTCACTGCCCGAAATACATTCGTAGGAGGGGGGGGGGGGGGGGGGGGGAGGGGAGGATGGAGGATGGATTACTTGTTCTACCTCAAGGTACTTTGAAGTTCTGAATAAAAGATTAACATTTATGGTGAAGAACTGCAGTGTACTGTATGATGAAAAATTCCTGAAAGGTTGCCCTCTTGCCACTACTCTGAACACTTCATCAGTCATCACTTCATCAGGATGTTCGCTTTGAATAAACAAAAGCGACGCCATTTCGATCTGTTTAAGCAGTATAAGGTGATAAAATAGTGACATAATTCTCAGTAGGGTGGTTATCCTCTCTCTGAACCTTCCTTCTAATTTCTTTAATTGAGAATTTTCTCATCATGGTGGCAAAGAAAACGCGAGCCATCGATGAAATCGATGAAC